ACATTAAAATACGAAGGGACTATTTTGCACCGTAGCTAAAGTAGTGGAGCCGCAACACGTCCTTTAGACGATGTTTGTGCTGCTTAGGGAGCTTATATTATATAAAATGGAGTAAGGAATAAAACACACGTGAACACAATTGGGATATACTCATAATGTACGACGCAACGAAATAAATTAGTTTGGAAAAAAGAAATACTAGTACAGAAATACGGAGGAGTTGGAAAGTTCAAAAAGGTTAAAAAAAAACACGACCACGATGGGACTCGAACCCACAATCTCCCGCTCCGGAGGCGAGCGCCTTATCCATTAGGCCACGCGGTCTTTTCTGCTTGTGCAGGTATTTATATCTCTCTAAAATGTTACTATTTTCTTTTAATCTGCTACCTAACCGTGATCTTTGACAAAATTGGTCGTGTTGGGCCTTTAAAACACGTAAGATAAGATTGTTAAGACTATAGGCCGAGAGAGAAGAGAAATAAACTATCTTCGGCCCAATCACCATCCATATTCCTAGCCCAGGGCCCATACCAGTGGGCTGTAGAATCTGAACTGGTAGAAACAGTCAGCCCGTCCATCTTACTATACTTCCTAACTATTATGGTGGCCCGCGCAGATTCGCGGCTAGCATCATTATATTTTCTCTCATGTAATAGTATATATATTTTCTCATTATATTATTCAAATATATTAAAATGACAACATAATTTTAAATTTTGCAATAACTTTACTAAACTACTAATGTGTAATATGCATATTGTATTTTATATATGTGTTAGTTATTAATTATTTTTAATATCAAATTTTTGTTATTTGTAAATTATATATATTCCTATATGGACTCTAGACTCGTCTTTTAATATTTCTTTTTTTAAATTCTGAATTTTTATTATTTCTAATTGTATTTCTATGTGGTCTCTAAACTCATCTTTCAATATTCTTTAATTTTTAATTTTAAATTTCAGTTACTTCTAAATTGTATTCCTATATTGACTTTAAACTATTCTTCCCATGTTTTTCTTAATTTCGAATTTTAGTTATTTGTAAATTGTATTTTTATATGATCTCTAAACACTACTTTTAATTTTATTATGTTTATTCCGAATTTTAGTTAGATTTAAATTCCTATATGGACTATAAACTCTACTTCTAATATTCCTTATTTTTTAATTCCGAATTTCTATTTTTTTTCTTAATTGTATTTCTATATGGACTCTATACTCTACTTCTAATATTTCTTACTTTTAATTCCGAATTTTTATTATTTTCTAATTGTATTTCTATTTGGACTCTATACTCTACTTCTAATTTTTCTTATTTTTAATTCCAAATTTCAGTTATTTCCTAATTGTATTTCTATATGGACTCTAGTCTCCTCTTCTAATATTTCTTATTTTTAATTCCGAATTTCAACTATTTCTAAATTGTATTTCTATATGGACTCTAGTCTCCTCTTCTAATATTCCTTATTTTTTAATTCCGAATTTCAGCTATTTCAAAATTATATATCTATATGGACTCTGCCTTTTCTTTTTCTTCGATTAATGTGAGAATTTCTAGGCCATGAGAGCGAACGTGGATGCTCCTTTTTATTTCGAATTTTAGTTAGTTTTAAATTCCTATATGGACTCTATACTCTACTTCTACTTCCAGTATTCCTTATTTTTTAATTCCGAATTTCTATTTTTTTTTCTTAATTGTATTTCTATATGGACTCTATACTCTACTTCTAATATTCCTTATTTTTAATTCCGAATTACAGTTACTTCCTAATTGTATTTCTATATGGACTCTAGTCTCCTCTTCTAATATTCCTTATTTTTTAATTCCGAATTTCAGCTATTTCTAAATTGTATTTCTATATGGACTCTGTCTTTTTTCTTTTTCTCCGATTAATGTGAGAATTTCTAGGCCATGAGAGCGAACGTGGAGACTCCTTTTTCTATTCTTTTAATAATATAATAGATTTAAATCCCCATGTTAAACAGGCAAACAGCGACATGAGCCTTTCCGATATCTAACAGGTTCGATTAGGAAATCAAGCCAAGCATATACTCCCTCTGTTTCTGAATAGATGATATTGTTAATTTTTGAATACATATTTAACCATTCATTTTATTCAAATAATTTATACAAATGTTTGTATAAATTATGCTTAAAATACTTTAAGGGATAAAATAACTCGCAACAAAATAAATTATAATTACGTAATTTTTTAATAAGACGAATGATTTGATAAAAAAATCAATAGCATCGTCTATTTAAAAAACAGAGGTAGTATATTCTGGGGTTGCTCTGAGTTGGGATCATCACGTGAACTTGAGCTATGAGAAATGAGATATCTGGGATGAGTTGTGAATGAGAATAAGATTATCCCCCACACTTAAGCTTGAATGACATGAGCAGGGTCATCTGCAGGCAGGCAGGCAGGCAGGCAGGATAGCAGCTACTAGTATTTTCTCCGCAAGATATATACAGATATCAGAGCTCTGAAATTCTCATCTGTATCCATCCTACAAGCGTCACCTAGACACCTAACTAAAAATCAGCATGCGTCATTCAACAAGATTATATCATCCTGACAAAATGCATTCGCCATCCTCGCTAAGTTTGCTCAGTAATGACTGTACATAGATGATTAAATCTGATCAGTTTGCAGGCTCAATATACAGCCTCGATGCTTTCTTTTTTTCCTGTCTCTCTCTCTTTCCAAAGGCCACCAGATACTTGCAGAATGTCGCTGCCTCGCTGATGATGTTGCTTGTTCATCCTGCTCAGTCTGGGAACCGATCGAAACGTAGCCTGAATAATGGGTTTCGTGCCACTCGAAGCGATCCATGTGAGAAAGCAGAGCTAGGAAAGCCAGCCATTCTCATTTGCCCCCAGATTTTCAGTGACAACGATGAATGCAGAATTTTGTTTCCCCAAGCTATAGATCTTATGCTTCCAATCTTTCTATTGCTTCAGGATTTTATCTTGCTAATGCTAGCTCTTTATGTCAAAAACAAAAAATCGTAATTCACTTTCTTGTGCATAATGCAGTACTGGTAGTAGACAGTAGTTAGTTAGAAGCTGCATGTACCAGCGTGGCTGATGAAATCTGAATCTGAAAGGAAGCTCAATTAATCAATCAATACAGTTGTGCCGATCCAACACAAACACACGAACGGACCTGATGATAAATGAGATTCATGCGTAAAGATTGGCATTTCGGTATTAATTAGTCGATTCCGATCTCCTGATCATTATTCAGCACAGAGAGAAAGACATTAAGACATGCAGAGCCACATATGCATCCAACATTCCAACTGTTGATGGAAATGCTTTAATTTCCATGTCGCCATCAGCTGTTGATGGAACCAGTCCTGGAGGAAATCAACACGCTTGCTTGCTTCCTTTCCTTCCTTCCTTCTTCGACTTCGATCAGGTTACTTGTTGAAGAAATCTCACGCCACAATCAAGGAACATTAGGATTGACCTAAATTGACTGGCTAAGCTGGGGCATTACAATACTCTAATTTTTAATCTTTTCAGTTTTGTTTCTGCTACTTGCTTTGCTTGACGAGCGATCCAAAATTTTCCCAGATATCTGGCCCTGAAATTCAGCTCTGCATATTTATATCTGTAAATTAACATAGCTTAGTTCAGGTTCAGTTATTAAGTGGTGACAGAATTAGAATCTGAGTTAATTTTCGAGTAAGTGGATTGGTGATCGATAGTGTCGCACAAGCTTGATCTGTATATTTACATGGCCGTCGCGTAAACGCCTCGCTAATTCTTTATTTGTGCGTTTCCCGCATAATCTACACCCCCCTTAATTCGCAGCATCGCAGGTAGTACTAGTTAGTACTGCGAAACTAACAGAAACACTTGGTTTATACGACTAATCAATCGGCTGCTTTATCAATTAACTACTGCAGTTAAGCTTAATTCTATCTGTCGATGAATTAAAAAACGAGCATGTCCAAGTACCTACGTGTATTCAGTGTTAAATTCATCTTCAGTAGTCAGTACCTGGCCACCAACAACTGCTATTCCGTCCAATTAAGTAAAGGGTGTGTTTTCTGAAAAAAGTTGGAAGTTTGAAGAAAGTTGGGAGTTTGGAAAAAAAAGTTGAAAGTTTATGTGTGTAGAAAAGTTTTTGATGTGATAGAAAGTTGAGAATATGGAGGAAACTAAACACGGCCAAAGTTACAATAAATAGGGAAATTCAAATCATCCCTTAAGAGGATATCCCCTCATTTTTACATGTCATTTAAAAAGTCATCAAAATTTTTTAAAAAAATTAGTATGATTGATCAATATGTGATATGTCATTTCACAAACATGCAAATTCAATTTCAATTTATACAAGTAGAAACAAATAACAAATTTGACTATGAATAGAATGCGTAATTCACGGTCAAATTTATTTTTTTTAATTATATAAGTCGAATTTTAACTCGCATGTTTAAAAAAAATATATCATATATTGATCTATCTTGATAAATTTTTTTAATTTTTTTGATAACTTTTTAATGACATGCACAAAACGAGATAATGTACACTCGAAAGACAAAAATCCACTTCCCAATAATTACTGCACTGGTATTAGTGCCATATCAACATATTCTATGCTACTCTATGCTAGTATCTTTCTGTTCGAGTTAATCACATGACCTCTCTGCTGGTGATTAAACCCTGAGGATGGTATAATCAACTGCATAATCACATCACATCCACCAATTGATTGGGCACTGCTGCAAGCCTTCTAGATTCTGAAAACTGCACATACAACAATAAGCATTGGTGCACAAGTATAATCCAAAATTAGCTATATCACTGTGTGTCACTCACGAGAGCAATCAACCATTACAAGTGTAGTACCTGACCTCTTAATTATGATGACTAAACTGTTGCCGGCAAGCAACGCCTTGATTCGATCGGCTCTAGCCTCTACCTTGCACATATGCAGCCAGCAATCCAGCATCATATCCTCCTCTATATAAGAAGCCCCTGACCTCCATGGCTACCACCACCACCTCACAAGCTAATTCAACCTACTAAGCTAGCTAGCTAGTGACAATTAAGTGATCACAAGTGTTGTTGCGATGGGTAGAGTAGTGGTCGTCGTGGCGGCGGCGGCGGTAGCCGTGGCCGTCGTCGTGCTGCTGGGCGCGGCGGCGCCGGCGGCGAGCGCGATGGAGTTCGGCGACAAGGACGTGGCGTCGGAGGAGGCGCTGTGGGAGCTGTACGAGCGGTGGCGCGGGCAGCACCGGGTGGCGCGGGACCTCGGCGAGAAGGCGCGGCGGTTCAACGTGTTCAAGGACAACGTCCGCCTCATCCACGAGTTCAACCGCCGCGACGAGCCCTACAAGCTCCGCCTCAACCGCTTCGGCGACATGACCGCCGACGAGTTCCGCCGCGCCTACGCCTCCTCCCGCGTCTCCCACCACCGCATGTTCCGCGGCCGCGGCGAGAGGCGCAGCGGCTTCATGTACGCCGGCGCCCGCGACCTGCCGGCGGCGGTGGACTGGCGCGAGAAGGGCGCCGTCGGGGCGGTCAAGGACCAGGGCCAGTGCGGCAGCTGCTGGGCGTTCTCGACCATCGCCGCCGTGGAAGGGATCAACGCCATCCGCACCAGCAACCTCACCGCGCTGTCGGAGCAGCAGCTCGTCGACTGCGACACCAAGACCGGCAACGCCGGCTGCGACGGCGGCCTCATGGACAACGCGTTCCAGTACATCGCCAAGCACGGCGGCGTCGCCGCCTCCTCCGCCTACCCGTACCGCGCCCGCCAGAGCTCCTGCAAGAGCTCCGCGGCGTCGTCCCCCGCCGTCACCATCGACGGCTACGAGGACGTGCCGGCGAACTCGGAGTCGGCGCTGAAGAAGGCGGTGGCGAACCAGCCGGTGTCGGTGGCGATCGAGGCGGGGGGCTCGCACTTCCAGTTCTACTCGGAGGGGGTGTTCGCCGGGAAATGCGGGACGGAGCTCGACCATGGCGTGGCGGCGGTGGGCTACGGCACGACGGTGGACGGCACCAAGTACTGGATCGTCAGGAACTCGTGGGGCGCAGACTGGGGTGAGAAGGGCTACATCCGGATGAAGCGCGACGTGTCCGCCAAGGAGGGACTCTGCGGCATCGCCATGGAAGCATCCTACCCCATCAAGACCTCGCCGAACCCGGCGCCCAAGAAGATCAAGAAGGTCACCGACGACGACGAAGATGATGATGACGAGGAGCACCGCCACCACGACGAACTCTAAGCTCATTTAATTGTGTGTTTTACAACAGTAACTGGCTACCGTTTGGAGGCGATTGATCGACGTCGTAACAAAATAAGCAGTTCGTTAATTTAATCACCTGTAGTTGATTTGATTGCATGCTCGTATTTTTTGCAATCTAGCTCGATTATGTTTACGCTGTGTAATGATTATTGATTATTAATTTGAAAAAGATTGTTAAGTATGAATTTTGTCCGATATTTTCTAATTTTCAATTTTCATTTGCACACACTTCTGTGTAGCACATAAGGTCCTAAGTTTAAATCTCCATAGGAGTGAATTTCAAACTAAGTTTCTACTCCCTCCGTTTCAAAATGTTTGACATCATTGACTTTTTAGCACATATTTGACCGTTCGTCTTATTCAAAAACTTTTATAAAATATGTAAAATTATATGTCTATAAAAATATATTTAACAATGAATCAAATGATAGGAAAAAAATTAATAATTACTTAAATTTTTTGAATAAGACAAACGGTCAAACATGTGCCAAAAAATCAATGGCGTCAAACATTTCGAAACGGAGGGAGTATTTTTTTTAAAAAAAATGCTGCATATATCCAGTTGGATATAGAGGCCGAGTAAAAAAATACCCTTCTCTTAGAAAAAATTGCACACGCTTCTTAAATTTATAAATGGTGTCCTTCATACATAACAATTTTCTTAGAGTGCTGGTCTAAAGATTCATTTGTTCGTACTTCGTACCCTTAGACTGTAATGATTTTTTTTAAAAAAATCTATCAATTTTAGTTTTCTCAAACAAAACTCTTGCGTTTTTTTACCGGAACAAAGACTATTGTGTTGGGAAGAAACGGCGCCGGTTTCAGGTTTGGCATGACGAGCGGCCACATGGAGGCCTAGCCCATGGGAACGCTCTTCCGGCCCATGGATTAGGCCCATAAAATCGGCCCACAAGCTACCTACACCTCTCTCTCGCTAGGTGGTTTGAGAAGAATCCATCTCTCTCTCTCTCTCCCAATCCCCCACCACCACCGCCAGCCACCAGCCACTGCCGCGGCGGGAATCCGGTTCCCGCGGCGACATCCCCCACGTCTCCGCCGCTGCACCGGCAAAGGCAGCTGCACCGCGACCCACCCGCGCGCTCCCAATCGGCCCCAAGATTAAGATTAAACCAGGAGAGACCACCCGATCGAGTGTTCTCTCACTTTCGCCATGGAGGTACTCCGCTACATCTTTTCCTGCTTCTCCTCCTCCTCCTCCAAATCATCCTCAGCATCTGCGGGCTCCGTGAGTATCTTCTTTAATTGCTAGTACGTAATTGTGATTTTACTGTGCTTAATTGTTGATCCAGTCCTAATAAGGCTATATTACTCGCTAGTCTGAGTTCTTGTGGTACTAGTAATTAGCGAAATTATGGGGAGAGTTCTCCATAATTTAGGCTAAAACCTTGTCAGTTATTGTTAATTCTAATCACCACCGGCAGCCTGATTCCAACATTTGATTATGGACTTACAACGAATTGAATTAGAATTTTATGCCGACTGTTAATTGTTACTAGTTCCTTTGTACCTTTGGGATATTTGATGATGATCTTGATTCACATAAGATAAGATAATCTACAACAAATTTCAGTGTATGTGCCAACCATAGTTGTCGAGTGCCATTTAGAGCGTTGAAGGGGATTGATTTCAATCTCATATGCCTCATCTCTCATGTTGCTGTTTTTCTCTGGGAAGAACCGTTTCATGTTGCTCCTGGTGCTGATACTGTTGCAGCACCGACTGTGGTCAAGCGGGGCTAGCGACAAGAACAAGGCAATGGTTGAGCAGCTCCAGAGGTACGGGATTATCAAGTCGAGCAAGGTCGCGCAGGTGATGGAGACCATCGACAGGGGGCTGTTTGTGCCTCCTGGTGCTTCTCCCTATTTCGACAGCCCGATGCCCATCGGTTACAACGCCACCATTTCTGCGCCTCACATGCACGCCTCTTGCTTGGAGCTCCTGGAGAAGCACCTTCAGCCTGGCATGCGTGCTCTGGATGTTGGATCAGGTCTCCCGTATCTCATATATTCAGTTTCGCTCAATCACTTCAACGTTTTATCTATGCTCCTAAAATATCATTTCAATTATGTATCATCACAACAGAAACACTTTTGAGTTTTGATGTTCTCATTCACAAAACTATGTTATGAATCTTAAGTGCCAAAATATAGAATTGCTTTTGTTTTTGAGTTACAACTTCAACTATAGGTTTATCATTACCCAAGATCTGTCAGTGGAGTAGTATCTTATCTAATAGATGTACTTATCACTGCACACTTTAGGCTTTGAAATGCAGAAATGTTTGCCAACATATGTGGAAAAAACAATATTTAGCTTCATCTCACAGCTTTTCCGTGAGGGTATGTATTCATGTGGTCTATGATGGGCTGGCCCCTACCCTATACCACAAAGATTCAGTAGTAATGTTGGTTTCTTTCATCTTTTTTTCTGTCATACTGATTTATGGAATTAAATATTGATTCAGGACTGCCGACCTGTTTAATATTTCCTAGCTGAAATGCTCAACAGATAGCAAATTTCTATACATGTTTGTCAACTCGCATTGCTTATTTACGTATCTTTGATAACTTCAACAGGCACAGGGTACCTAACAGCTTGCTTCGCGATTATGGTTGGACCAGAAGGGCGAGCAGTTGGTGTTGAACATATCCCAGAGTTGGTTACTTCGTCTATTGAAAACATCAAGAAAAGTGCAGCGGCTCCACAGTTAACTGATGGATCCCTCAGTATACATATTACCGGTAAGTAGCGCAAGTTTGCAGCTTTTAATTGTTCACTTTCCTCTCCACTAGTAGTAATGACAAACATGCTGAAGTGCCAAGGTCTGAACTGAATTGCAGCGTAGAGTACAATTTTGTAGACAAGGGCTTAGTTGCAAGGGTTAAATGATACTTTAAATAAACATGTTGAACTTCTGTAATTTGTTTTAAAGGGTTACTTTTGTCGGGTCTAACGTGGTAACAAGTTGTTTTAGGTTTCAAAGAGAATCTTTTTATCCATACCAAACAGTGAGTGGTTCTTCATCTGTGATACTTATGCTTTCTAGACACAGACTTGGAGCAACTTTGCCCATCCATCTCATAAACTTATATTGTGCATCCGGGTTGGCTTCAGCAGTACTTCATATTCCAAAACATTATTTACCTAACAATAATCGATCTCTGTAACTGATACAGATGGCAGAGAAGGTTGGCCAGAGCTCGCACCCTATGATGCCATCCATGTCGGAGCTGCTGCACCGCAGATTCCACAGGCGTTGATTGAGCAGCTAAAGCCCGGTGGCAGAATGGTGATCCCAGTTGGGACTATGTTCCAGGAGCTGAAAGTGGTGGACAAGAACCAGGATGGCAAGGTCAGCATAAGAGATGAGACGGCTGTGCGCTATGTGCCCCTCACAAGCAAGGATGCGCAGCTGCAGGCTAACTGAATGCACTACCATAATATTCTGCTGAATGTAAAACCTTCAATGCGTGATCCCAGTTACATCAAGATGTTATTATTGTACATAAATTGGTCCTACCGTATGTGTGAATCGCTTGGTGCTTGTCAACAATGTTGGATGTTGGTTCGTCATGAAGCATGGAAGTATGTGCTTGTGTTGATCTCTTTTGCCTCTAATGGTGTTTCCACTACAATGTGCATGACATATTTGTTATCTTCACAACACGGTTGGCTTAGATGTAACGTATCCTGCAGACTTGATCAGCTTTGTGACATTAAAGGGATTGGAGTGTCCATGACTATTGTGGTTTCCTGTGCATTATATGAACAATAGTTTATCAAAGTATTTGGTTCTTGCAAATCCAGAGAACAACATTTCTGAAAGAGAAAAAATAAGCATAATGCATAGGGGTAAGCACTGGCTGCTGCCATGCATTTGCTCCTTTTCTCAGATATATGGTCGACAAGTGAACTTTTGGATTATCACGGAAAAAAAATACTAAGGACATCATCATTATAAATATCCTACTTGGAAAGTTGAACTCATATTTTTGAGAATAATTTAACATAACATCAGCTTGGAAGACACATAAAAAGGACGGGAGGACTCAAAATCAGGAAGCTAACGCGCGCTCTGTAAATGACAACCATCAGCTTCCGCCTTAACGCATAACACTTTAGCATTCTTGTTCAAACGTGCAGACATGCTCCCCAACGCCATATGGAATCAAAAGCCTCGCTGTGGTCGCTCAGCTGCCACATTCACTCGAAGTGGGCGGCCATCCAATTCCTGTAATCCATCATGAACAATTGAGCATAATAAAAGAAGCATAAAAGAAACGGTATTAGCTTATAGAGCCTCCATATTTGCCATACTCGTTATAATGGTGATATTCAAGTGTATGCTTAATGTAGATGGTGCCGTCCTCACCTGTCCATCAAGGGCAGAAATAGCATCATCGAGCTCCTCCTTGGAGGCCATGGAAACAAAACCAAATCCCCGAGAACGCCCAGATTCTCTATCGTAGACAACCGAAGCGTTAACCACCTCTCCATGCTCGCTGAACAATTGCAGCAGCCTAGAGTCATCCACTTGCCATGGCAGGTTGCCAACATAAGCCCTGAAAGCAGGAGCAAACTGCCTTGGAGGTCTCTCCACACGAGAGCCCCTTGGAGCCGCCCTGTTTACGTTCAGAAGCCTTCCGTTGATATCCTGTAAAACATAAATTTATCAGCCAGCAGCTGAGAACACTGTGCAACTTATACAATTTCTTCTGTACTATCATTTTATCACTATGACAGAAATATCTTCGAGCTCAGTTTTACTGAACGCAGTTCATCGGGTATGGGAACATTTCACAATGGTTAACCTAAATGAGATGTACCAACAGTATAATTTTACCCTTTGATCAGATAATATAAATTGTTTCAGTTATCAAGGTACTTCCAATTTTATGTGTAACGGCAGCATGTGCGAATGGTGAAAATTGTGAAAATAAAATACTTCAATGGATTAAGAAACGACAATTCAGAAATGCACTCACATAGCGGTTAAGCATCTCAATGGCCTTGTCGGCTTCCTCAATCGTACTCATGGTAACGAACCCAAATCCACGGCTCTGCCCTGTCTCTCTGTTGTAAATGACCTAAATAAAAACAATAATTGGGTAATTGGAAATACTGAGCCTTGAGAATTTATGCAATTGGCAATAGTATCTTGCAATTCTTCTGTTAAAAAGAAGAAGGGGGAAATTGATTGTGGGCTGGCGCGCGAGTAGGCTCACCTCGGCGACCTCGACGACGCCGGCCTGCTCGAAGAGCTGGGCGAGGCCCTCGCTGTCGACGTCGTACGGCAGGTTACCGACGTACACCTTGGCCTCCTCGGGGGGCTCCGCCGCGAACTCCTCCTCCACCGCTTCCTCCTCCTCCTCCTCCACGGAGGCCACCACCTCCTCCTCCGCCTCCGCCTGCTCCTCGACCACCTCCTCCTCCTCCTCCTCCTGGGAACCCTCATCGGCCTCCTCCGTCTCGCTCCATTCGACGCCGGCCTCGGCGGCGGCGGCGGCGTCGGAGGAGGCGACGAGGGGCGCGAGGGGGAGGCGGCGGGAGGCGCGGAGGAGGGGCGGCGCGCGGGAGAAGAGGAGGTGGTGGAAGGGGAGGGCGGAGAGCTTGTGCGGGGCCTGGGTGGCGTCGGCGGAGGCGGCCGCGGCCATGGCCATCGCGAGCGAGGTGACGGAGGTGGTGGCCATGGCCATGGGCGAGCGAGGAGGAGGAGGATGAGGGGGGGGAGTAGGAGGGGATAAGCTAGCGCTACTGTTGGAGCTTGAGGCGCTCGTCGCCCTCCCCCTCTTTATCCGCCGCGCAACGTAGGGTGGGCTCCTTACTGGGCCCAATTGATTTTGGGCCTTCCACGTCCAACTGTCCGTTCCGGCCCATTTCTTGGAAAGGAAATGAGCCAACCGCCGTATGATGTGTGGATGGGATCACCAATACATTTGTTCACAAATTTTCGAAAGTTTTAAAAATTTAAAAAAGATACTCTGTCCTATTCAAAAAAAATTAGAATTATTATTTATTTTCTTTGTGACATACTCTCTCCATTTCACAATGTAAGTCATTCTAGTATTTCCTACATTTATATTGATGTTAATGTGTATATATATACACACACACACATGGGAGTATGTACACCTGCTATCATCCACCGTTGATCTGTGATTAGCTTCGATGGATCCTGATATCGGATTAACGAGCGGACCCGTTTAACTTTTTGACAAGAAAAAAATTACGTACCCCTTAATTTAGCCACGGAAACCGGAATGACCTGAGTACAATTCCTCGTTCCACCAGTGCATCGGATCCGAAAATCAGGTCACTAGGAGAGACCGCGATATAATAGAACTCGGAGAAGGCGGCGGCGATTCATCGTCGATTCCGCAACAGCAGCGAGATTCATCGTCGATCCATGGCTGCGTTGCAGGTGACGGCGTGATCCCGGCGCGGCGGCCTGCACGCGCGGCGCGGCGGCGGTGTAGACCGATCGGCAACATCGTGTGGCGGAAATGCAGGTCATCGTCCTCCAAGGCAACGGCGCGACGGGACGGGACTAGTCGACGGTGCGATGCAGCAATAGTTGAACTAACCCAGGCGGCATCAATCACTCGTCGATCTCGCGCAAAGCCTTTTCGATGGCGACAATGCATTCGGCGATAGCCATACGAGATCGATCAGATCCTGTGTACAATCTGAGACACCAGAATACATGTGGTTAGTACTACTTAATTATTTCTTATGTCGTGTATATCATATCAATCTTATCTTCTTCTTTGCCCAGGCAGTCGCATGGTGCATATGCACACCTCGGAGAGGCTAGTGATGCTAGTCGTCGCTAGAGTCCGCAGTACGGTGTGCTTGCGCATATATATATATATATATATATACACACACACACACACACATATACACACACACTTTATTATCCAAAGTACTTTAAGCACAAATTTTCGTTTTTTATATTTGCACAAATTTTTTTGAATAAGACGAGCGGTCAAACATTGTAAGTAAAAACTTAAAATCTCTTGTATTATGGGACGGAGGGAGTATAATTTTAGTGCAATTGTGATGTAATGACACTGTAACTTGCATGTAACTACAATATACTTCCTCCGTTTCACAATGTAAGTCATTCTAGTATTTTCCACATTCATATTGATATATTCATTAACATCAATATGAATGTGGGAAATACTAGAATGACTTACATTGTGAAACGGAGGGACTTTTAGAACTCTCTCCGTAATATATTATTTCGGTGAAACGGAGGTCGTAGAGACGAATCATCTCACATGTATACACGCCGTGACTTTTAATTCCTCACTTGCACTGTTGCACAAATCTTGAAACAAATATAACGGTTCAAAATTATATGAAAGTTATATATAAGTTACATTATAGTTACATGCAATTTACAATATTTATTATTTTTTTAGAGAAAAATTATTGATAAATATATAGCAAAATTACACGTGGATAAATTGGACTGGTCAACACCGCATCCCCCTCTATGCCGAACCGGGCCCACGCTGCCTCTCGTCTTCCTCCTCGGAACGACTTTGATTTCTAACCGCGCGACATGGACGACGACGAGACATCAATTGGACACTAGATTATTTTTTTTTAGGGATGCATGAAACGTGCTGTCAATCACATTGCCACTATTACAACAGTTGCATTAGCACAATGGCGGCAGCAGAGAGGATTTAGCTTAGCTAGCTGAGCTCAGTCACTGGGGAGTGGAGCTGGAGCCGCATGTCTGTGCTGCCCATCCTGCCGGCGCCGACGAGCGTCAGGCCGTCGGGGTACACGTCGACGCGGCCGAAGGCGTCGGTGCCGGGCGGGCACTCCAGCGCCGCCTCCAGGGTGCGGTGGTGGACGCCGCGGGCGTCGACGCCGTAGCCGCCCCTGTGGTCGTGGCCGGCGAGGCACGCCGCGACGCAGCCGTGCCGGTGCACCACGCGCATCACCTCCTCGTAGTTCCACATCAGCCCCGACGGCGACGCCGCGCCGGGGTGCAGCGGCAGGTGGCTGCACACCACCGCCGCCTCCCGCCGCCGCGCCGCCCCGCGCAGCACGCCGTCCAGCCACCGCAGCTGCGCCTCGCCGACGGCGCCGTTGAACATCACGAACCGCCGGTCCACGCCGGCGAGGCCGCTCGGGCTGTTCTTGTCCGCGTTCGGGTTCCTCTCGTCCAAGAACCTCCTCGCCGCCGCCGCCACCGGGTGGCCGCGCGGCCATCCCACGGCGCTGAAGTCGTACGCGTCGAGGACGACGAACCTGTAGCCCGGGAACGGCGAGAAGTCGTAGTAGGCGCGCCCCGACGGCATCCTGAGCAGCGACACGAGCTTGCTCCGGGGAAGGTTGTAGAGGCAGTGGTTGCCGAGCATGTGGTAGGCCGGGCCATGGAAGCGGTCGAACTCGGCGACGACGGCCTGGACGGCAGCCAGCGACCTGTCCTTGGGGCAGAAGCCGTCGACGATGTCGCCGAAGTTGACACAGAAGCGGACGCCGCCGCCGGCGACGGGATGCTTGTGGTTGTGGGCGTTCCAGGAGCGGACGGCTCTCTGCAGGATGGTGAGGCTGTGGCGGTAGTAGCGGGGGACGCCGAGGAAGGAGCGGCCGTCGGGGATGTCGGCGTACTGCACGTCGGCGATGACGCCGAACGAGAAGAGGGGCTCCTTGCCCGCCGCCGTCGCCCGGACCGCCACGGCGTTCGGCGGCTGAACCAGCATCGGTCGTCGTTGCCGAATGATTGCCAATCGGCCGGCGACCACCACAAGCTTGTCTTCCTCTCCGGCGAGCTGTGACCACTGGCCAGTGACCTGACCAGGAGAGGGGAGGAGGAAGAAGAGTATCCGCCGCGTCCACCGGCCGCTCGTTTCCGGGGATGGCCGGCGAGGCAACGACAAAGCAAGTGCAAGTGGGCGGTGGTCCGGCCATCACGTGGCACAATCGATGGCTAGTAATATTTAGAAAAAAAAAATTGTACTAGTAATAATAATGTTCAGCTAGAAATTTTATTTCAATAAAAAAGATCAACCAGAAAAAATTGAAATAGTATCTGCATCTGCTTAGGCGTTAGAATCACTGCAGTGGCTTCATTCCTCCTATAAATAAGTAAACTTTAGGTCCCTCGTCTTGATGTCGAGTTTAAATCATATCCTTAAACCATATGACGTATCCCTTATTTTTTAAAATCGGTACAAATATAGTCATGAGACAATATTGAAGGTGGTTTTGGATAACGTGGCACAATAAGCAAAAATAAATAAATAACCACATGGGACCCATATGTAAGTGAAACAGCTCGATGATCGTGCTTCGGCTTGAGCATCACCGTCACCAGCCATGTCAACATCCACACTGCCCGTATGGTTTGCCTCGTCGTCCACGCGGCTCCGCCGCCGCCACCTGACGGAGTGAGAAAGGGGATAAAAAAAAAAGATCGTTGTTTCACTTACATGTGGGGTTTCGTGTTATCTTTTATTTTCTTCTTGTGCCACATCAGCGCCATGTCACTCAAAACCGCTTTCAATATTATCTTAGGACTATATTTTGTATTGGTTTTGAAAAATGATGGATGTGTTGTACCTAGTTTTACGGTTTAGGGATGTGATTCAACCTCGACATCAACATGAGGGACTAATGGTGAACTTATTCCTTCCTCCTACATTCCTATTTCCATTTTCACAGCGTCGGCCCATCATAATACGGTCCACATATTTGTTAGTTTTATTTTGGGAAAAGTCTGTTTTGAGTCCTCTCCGGGAGAGCTGCCAGAGAGAGATGGAGTCATGTAGTGAAGAGAGGGGAGAGGGAGAGGATGTATACATGTGGCCCTATGAAGATGGGAAGTACTCCCTCCGTCCCAAAAAAAAGATAAACTCTGGGTTTCCGTGTTCAACTTTGACTGTCCGTCTTATATGAAATTTTTTTATAATTCGTATTTTCATTGTTGTTAGATAATAAAACATGATTAATATTTTATGCGTGACTTGTTTTTTTAATTTTTTTCATAATTTTTTTAAATAAGACGGACGGTCAAATGTTAGGCACGGAAACCAGGGTTTGTCTTTTTTTGGGACGGATAGAATAGTCACTTACACGAGGAGGGCTCACGTCTACTCCCTCCGTCCTAAAATATAAGTATTTTTACCTATGAATCTAGACAACTATGTGTCCAGATTCATAGCCAATAGTTGTTATATTCTAGAACGGAGGTAGTACTTTTTATTTTTTTTGATTGGGCATCACATCAACCAAAACCAATCTCAAAATAGCCGAGTGAGTCATTCTAAACTGATTTTAGTATCAGAGGAGACGGTGATATACCTAGTTTTACGACGGTTCAGACTTGAGAGATACAAATCAGATTCAACCAATAGCAAGGGAGGCAAAATTGACTTATTTTTTCTTTCGTTTTTATCGTGCGAGGGTTATTAATATTCTTTTTCATCATTGATGCCATAACCCTTATTTAAAAAGAAAAACAGCAAAATTTCATTAAACCGGATTTTGTGAAGAACCAAACATAACCAACTTCCTGGGGGTCTTCATCAGCATAAAAAAGTGTTAGAACAAGACTAGGAAAGATTATTGCACGGATGCAGAATCATGATGTGCCGAAGCGATGGTAGGCAGGAACACGCTGTCAGCATAGTTGGGTTACAGGGATTATTGCAAGAAATCATCATGCATGCTTACTCTGTCCATCACCACTTGATTAGGAGGGATCTAAATGGTGATCCCGCTGTAGCAATCTTCAAACAGTGCAATATATCTCAATGGAATATACTAATTAAATTGCATGGTTAGGGGTTAGGGTGTCAAGAGCATCAGGTCGGTCTCAGAATATATGATACGATCGTCCTGTCACTTGCCCATAATCGAACTGGACCTTGATATACAGCTAGCGATTGCGTGTTGATTAAAAATTTCCGTGAAAGCATGTCCTCCCAACTGATGTAAGCATCAGCATGTCAAGGTTAACACCTCACTATCTCATGTGATCTCGTGTGGTAAGATACAAGAGAAAAACTGGAAGTAGCAGTGCCACCAATGGCATGAGGATTATCAATCAGATGGCCAAAGCAGCTAGCATTGGGTGTGTACAGTTTGTCCAAATCACCAACCAACCATACATCTATAGGAGATGATGAGATCCATCCTTAAATCGACCAGACCTGCAGATATTGGTTGCCGCTGGCCATTGACGTGCATACTTTAATCGACTAATCAATTCCTCGGATGCCACCTCTCTCTGCAAGCTCACCACACGACCATGCCAATATAAACAAGAAGGAAGAAATTCGCAACAAATTTATATTCATCGACTTTGGCATCACAAGTAGAGTAGCAGATCAAAACGCAACGCGTCTCGAATCAAATCCATCTTCTTTTTTGGTCTCTTCTTCTTCTTCTTCTTCTTCCCCTCGCATACGTGCGCAATACATAGTGCATTCCATTTTATTGCAGCAGCAGCAGCTAATCTCGCCGGAAGAAAAACCAAAGCCGGAGGCGATGAGGGAGCTGTCGTGCTTCGGCGACAGCTCGGTCGGCATCGCCGCCGCCGCGGCCGGTGACTCCGGCGGCGGCGGCGGCGGCGCGCTGGATCGCTCGCTGCAGGCGGCGACCACGACGGTGTACGGTGCGTCGCTGCACTCCGGGAAGGAGCTCCTCATCCGGGTCACGTGGACGCGGAGCGCCGCCGGAGCCACCGGCCTCGCCGTCGCCTTCGACGACGCGCTCTCGCCGTCGTCGAGGTGCGCCCACCACGTGCTGCACAAGAAGCGCGGGAGCCGGTCCCTCGCCACCGCCGCCGGCACGGCCGTGGGCGTCCACTGGGACACCGCCGAGGCCACGTACGCGTCGGGTTCGTCCCCCGAGCCCACCGGCGACTACTACCTCGCCGTCGTCGCCGACGCCGAGCTCGCGCTGCTCCTCGGCGAGGGCGGCGCGGCGCGGGACCTCTCCCGCCGGTTCGGCGACGACGGCGGTGGCGCCGTCGTCCTCAGCCGGCGAGAGCAGCTGCGCGGCGCGGCGACGGCGCACACCACGCGGTGCAGGTTCCGGGAGGGCGGGGCGGAGCACGAGGTGGCGGTGCACGCGACCCGCGGCGGCGGCGGCGGCGGTGAGGGGGAGGTGCGGGTCAGCATCGACGGGAAGAGGGTGGCTGAGGTGAGGAGGGTGGGGTGGGGGTTCCGCGGCAACCGCGCCGCCGTGCTCGCCGACGGCGAGGTGGTGGACGTGATGTGGGACGTGCACGACTGGTGGTTCGGCCGTGGCGGCGGCGGCGGCGGAGCTGGAGCTGGCGCGCAGTTCATGGTGAGGGCGAGGGCGGAGAAGGAGGGGAGGCTGTGGATGGCCGACCAGCCGCCGGCGAGGGGTGGCTTCTTCCTGCACGTGCAATGCTACCGCCGGTGACGTGACGTCACTGGACAGTATGTATGTGCAATGTGTTACTAACAAAACTAGTCCGTGCCAATCAGCTTCTCTAATTCGAGTTGGTGATTTTATTACAGTGTAAATCATGGTGTACATGAAAGATATAAGTATATGTCTCCAGCCTGACATTGTATGAACATGGGTACATGCATGCTGATGTGAGTGTTTCTGGTTATCTGAATCGCAATCAAATGGCATAGATAGATTCTGATCATGGTTACATAGAAAAAATGATGCTTACATTGCCTCCAGATAGCTTCATTGAGATCAAGCAGAAACGCTTGCATTCTCTGCCACGATGCTGTCAAGTAATGACTCGCATGCGTCTTCCAGCAGATCCAGCACCTGAAAAACATTGTGCAAAGATAGGTTACTACTGGAGAATGTACATCACGCATATCTTTCTCATGTAAAATCTTGTCCTCGTATAATCGGCACAACAGACAACATCATCGTTGCTTGCACGTAAGGAACTATGAGTACACTTAATGGTTTTGAGGAAGAACCATATTAAGTCAAATGCATGAAAGAATATTAATCAGGCATTCAGCAACAGTCTTATTTGAAGGAAATGAAGGAACATTGGCAAAAACTTAAATAAATCCGACTTTCATTTTTGCTGATAATATTACTTAGCTACTAATACTACCCCATTGGGATTACTTTGAACAATGCCTTAAACCCAGGAGTTCATCTATATATCTAAAAAAGGATCACTTCAAAATTTCTTCACGGATCACACTCTATGTTATTCTGTTTATGATCTTGATAGTCAAAGGTGAAAATTTTAGAGCAATTAATTATTGTGCAAAGGACTAAGTAAGGCTCAAAGTTGTCTACGATTTGACACTATGTTTTAGAAGCCTTGCTGAAGAATTTTCATCAACTTCTTCTATGCTTCTCAAGCATGCTAGTGAGGGCACCAACCAAACAGGCCCAAAGACTTTGGGCAGAGCTAATGAAGATCATAGGTCAGTACTGGAGGTACACTTTCATGCATAAAATACTATGCTTGAACAGAAAACATTATTTTATTGTTTCATGCTGTCATGCACACATGGATGCTCATGTTCATCCCCACTGGGTCAAACAATGAAACATATCTAACTTCAGTCAGAAAAATGGAACATATCTAACATGTAATTTGCAGACTTCAAAACAATCGTGCACTTCATCATCTCACCTTTTCAAATCCTTGAGGGCCTCCATAATACGGATCTGGGACTTCTGACTCAGTATGACGCTTGCAATAGGAACACATCAACTTAACCTAGTAAAGGTAAAAAGAACATTTCATGTGTTAGTTTTCAAGCATGAATACCAACATCAGCTTAACTGCTTAACCATATGGCATGTTGGTTCTTATCCATTCTTAGCCTTGCCAAATTTTTGGCAATGTCAGGAATAGGTATTGTCAAAATTTTGGAAAAATTGGGCTTTTGTTTCGCTTGCCTACCCATGTTGCATTTTGGCAATGTACTCAATTCAACCAAGCCAGATATTTTGGCAATGCCCATTTATTGGCCACAAACCAAATGGGTGACTAATTTTTGGATTGCCATTTTTTTTTTTTGGTTTGGTTGAGTTTGGGCTTAACTGGACTTCCAGATTGCAGTATGAGATAACTAACTACTGTAAAGTTGTATAAGGGTGTCAGAAAGAGAATAAACGCTAGGCCAGACACTATCCATTATCAAGCAGCTATGTGGTCACCCCTCTACCAGAAATAAGAGAGTATCTGCCTATCTGGTAAAAGAAATCTAACTCGTAGATATGGTGAATCAGTCAAGTTGCTAGAACAAAGTAGCCATCATCAGCTGGAGCAAGAGCAATGCAAGAGACTACTTTGTAGAAATTGATGATTCAGCATTTGCCCGAAACAAACTTAGAAAGTGCACTTCACTGTAAGTGAAACATGCTAAGGAATGTTGGAGAAAATCAAGTAGGGGAATAAATAATAATTGCAGTATATTAATTCTTCACCTTCCATGTCATATTGAAAGACAAAGGGCATGGTCAATTGGTCATATCACCGATTATTTTAGGGGAAAACATGTATTAGGAGAAAGCAAATGTGGATACTTCAGATTGTGCATATAACGGCATATAACATGCTGTTTGGGTTCCCATAGATGCCTAAACTCTGTAAGACCTCAGGTTCTGGGGTTAAGACAACAAAATTAAAAATAGAAATGATCAAACAAGTATATGCAGGATGAACATTAATGGAATGTTTGCAATACAGGAATTTTGTGGAAAATTAATTGGACTCAGCAAATTCACACAGAACTTGGGGAAATAATCTCATGTTATAAATGAGTCAAGAACTCTTATAACATATTAACATTCTAACCTTCTTGGGTCCACTGTCTGGGAGGGGTTCCCTGTGTCTCCATCTCTCAAATGAACTGAGTAGGTCTTCTGCACATTGCTCCAAATAAAAGCACATAAGGCAGCTGAACATAATAAAAAAAAGAGGTACCGAAACACAGATGAGAGGAGTTGAGAGAGTACCATAATTCTGCCTATCCATTGCAAGGATAAGATCAAAATCTCGGAAGTCGGAGGGTTTGACAGGCCTGGATATGGAGGTCACCTCAATTCCCCTCTTCTTTGAAGCTGATCTCATCCTTGAGTCTGCCTTGTTACCCTGAATCCAAGCAACACCTCATCAATGATGATGTCATCGCTGAACAGAGCAATGTACAAACAAGCATGGTATTACAGAATACAACCTCATGGTAACCAATTGTACCAGCAGAGTCTATGAGAAACTTGGACTCAAGCCCACGCTTGCTCACGAGGTTCCGGAACACAGCCTCAGCTGCAGGGCTCCGACAGATGTTGCCTGTATACACAATTTACATCAACACAGGCAACAAACACCACACGTTTCAGGCTGTAATACACATAGGTAAGATAAGGCAGTGGGGTGAATTTATCCTTTTTCTGAAAAACAGGGGGAGACGCACCAATGCACGTGAAAACATGCAAACGTACACAGACAAATAAACATGTCAAAGAAGGTAGCGCACAATCTTATACGCTGATAAAGCAAACACTACATTGCTTGTACATGGAAAGATGTCGAAATTCACATGTACTAAGCACCTGACACAAAATTATACAGCTCGTCCTGATAAACCAAGCAACTAGAAATTTGAAGCTGTGAAGTCTGAGCTATATATCACTACACGGAACAGATTGTCGTAATCAAATGATCAGAATAATGCAACAACTGAAAGCAGATAGTCCCTAAACCAAATTGCAACTTATACAGTGCACACATAACCCTTGAGAGAATGCATTTTGGTATTCCAACTGACCAAAATCTCCGAATTGAGCTGAACAAAAACTGTGAGAACCCATCCTGGTGCTTACTAATACTAGCACATGCGAGCATATCCGTAAAACTTGATAACCATATCACGTACAGCCAGAAAAACTCCCACACTTCCCAATGTGCATAATACTATCACGGACAAACTCCAATGGAGAAATCAGGCAAACGCGATGGGGAAATTGGAGAGATAAAATGCCGTCCCCGAATTAGTGCACGCACGGTGCGGACACACTAGGGCTGATAGTCGCAGAAGCACCCAAAATCAGCGGGACGAAGCAATCACAGGCAACTTCAATCCACATGGACAATTATCAAATCGAGTGGCGCTATCAAGCGGTTCCCCAATCAGTTCATGGCCCATCGCTGAGACGATAAGAAGCTAGGGTTGGTGTGATTTACCGAGACAGACGAAGAGGACGGAGAAGGGCTTCGCCTGCGCCCCCTCTGCCGCCGCGGCGCTCGCCTCCGCAGCCATCTCCCCCTCCGCCGCCGCCGCCGCAGCCGCAAATCGAAGGCGAGGGTTTAGAAACGGATCGCGAGGACGAGCCTGGCCGAGACCCGAGCTGGAGATGGAGATTGTAGTGGGAAAAGGTGAAGCGGTGCAGTGACGACTGGCTGCCACAAGTGGAGGCCGCGGCACGCGCCTCCTAACCGGGTATCGCGTTGTCGGGTTCGGAGCCGGAGATGAGCAGGCGGCGGAGCTCGCCGCGGCTGCTCCGGCCATGGCCGCCGGCGCCACGAGCTCCTCCCTCTCGCGTGCGCGGGGGAAGCTGTGTGGATGGGGGCAATTCGAGCGACGAGTGGCTCGCGCCGCGGAAGCGGAGATGGTTCGGTGTACTGGAGCTTTTGAATCCGAAAACTCCCTAATAATCCTCGGAAAAAAAAAGGAGAGAAAAATATCGATAAGGTTGAGGAATTCGTCTAACTGGGTTGGGCCTACTGGACCGTTTTAATATGGGCCGTGGGTTACGGCCTGTGGGCTGGCTGTTGTAAACATTTGCGTAAAAAACCCCAAGAGAAGAATTTACTTTTCATTTGAATCCCCCGTGTCACTGTGTCCGTCAGATCGGCCATTGGCGGCTAGAATCGAGGCGGAGAGTAGGGACTTGTTTTTCTGGAAACCCCCTATTATTAGTTTCGTAACACAAATAATTGCTCCTCGTCGCCGGAGCAGAAGGTCTCGAGGAGTCGAGACTTCTCTCCCCCAAATCCCCAGAACCCTAGCGGAGCTCCACCTCGAGATGGCGACGGCGAGCGATGCGCCGGCGAGCTCCACGATAACGACCGCCACGGACGACGCCGAGGTGGAGCGCGACCAGGGCAACGGCAATGGCGCCGTGTCAGCCGCACCCGCCGCCGTGGGGAAGGAGGCGGCGGCTGAGGAGGAGGAGATGATCGGCCCGGCTCCCGTGCCGCCGCGGCCGAGGAAGAAGCGCCCGCTCCAGTTCGAGCAGGCCTTCCTCGACGCCCTGCCCTCCGCGGCCATGTGAGTGTTCTCCTCGCCGTTTCAGGTTCGGATTTGGTAGGGGGTGCGTCGGCTGGGAGGCTGACGGCCGTGGCTTGGTTTTGCAGGTACGAGAAGAGCTATATGCATCGGGATGTCGTCACCCACGTCGCCGTCTCTCCTGCTGACTACTTCATCACCGGGAGCGCAGATGGTAATCTCTCGCGCTCACGTCTCTGCATCGTACCGTATTCAGTGTGCGATACTAGTGGTTTGTGCCTTTGTGGTAGTTTGTTAGCTTGTGGCAGCATGTGTTAGATTTCGGATGGTATCTTGTGGAAATGTCAAGCCCTTCTACATAAGGGATAGTCCTTCACTGAACCATAATCACGGGCTTGATAGACTTGCGTAATAGTATTGGTTGAAAAACTTTTAGATCTATGGATTGATCAAATCCTGTGGTATGATTCAATAATAAGCTGATTCATTTTCATGTAATGGGAGCTTAATTACCATCCTTTTCTCCTCTCTACCCAGGACATTTGAAATTTTGGAAGAAGAAACCAGCTGGGATCGAATTTGCTAAACATTTTCGATCTCATCTCAGTCCCATTGAAGGCCTAGCTGTGAGTGTTCAGATTCTTATATTGACTTCCCTAATCCAGGGAAAACATTTGCATTCGCAATATATATTAGTCTATTTATCTTGCTAGTTGCTACTCTTAGTCACAGCTCCTGCCTATGGAACTATGAACAACCTCAAATTATAGCGTGATTCAGTAATGCAGGTGAGTGTTGATGGCCTACTTTGCTGCACGATCTCCAGCGATTGGTCTGTCAAGATATATGACGTTGTGAATTATGACATGATGTTCATGATGCGTCTCCCATTCGTTCCGGGTGCAATTGAGTGGGTTTATCGACAAGGAGATGTTAAACCAAAACTCGCTGTTAGTGATCGTAATACACCTTTTGTTCACATATATGATACTCATTCTGGTTCAAACGATCCCATCATCTCCAAAGAGGTAATCTGTTGTTGCTTTCTGTGTGTCGATGTGTATTTCTTGTGAATTAAAGTAACTAAATGATTCTTACTGCATGAGCTGCCTCTTTATGCAGATTCATGCTGGCCCAGTAAAGGTTATGAAATATAACCATGTTCACGATGTTGTGATATCTGCTGATGCCAAAGGACTCTTGGAATACTGGTCTCCGTCTACCCTCAAATTTCCAGAAGACGCGTATGTTGTTTCTCTCTTGGAGTTATTTTCAACGTTTGTGTAGCTTGTGGTTTTGTCTTCCCAAAACATTGCACTGAACCACCAAGTACTTGAGCCATGATTACACCTACCATTTCCTTTTCTGTTAAGTCTGCAGCTGGAACAATCCTAGGTGCTAATTAATCAACGAACCAGCTTTTTTTAAAAAAAGTTAGGTACTATTATGTTTGGTGAAGATGCACTTAACTTAAAATCTTTTCTGATTCACTTTTGTTTCTTATAATAACATATTATCCTACTTTAGTATTTATGGATTGTTTTTTCATTTCACCTGTCACTCTGGCAGTGTATAAGCTCTGGGTTGGTTCCTTTTGTAATGGCTATATTTATATGTGCTAACAGCTGTTCTGTCCCTCTTGGTGAATGCATCAATCCATCATCTTATCAATGCATATTGCTTTTGTTTTTTGTGCAGGGTGAACTTTCGTTTAAAAACAGACACAAATCTATTTGAAATCGCAAAATGCAAGACTAGCGTGTCTGCTATTGAGGTACTTCTTCTATTTGATTCTCAAGTTATTTGCATTTGTTGCTTCATTATTGATAGAGCTACAGGATTACTCTGATAAACGAGCTTGTGTTGTCCAGATGAGCAATGACGGCACTCAATTTGTTGTTACATCCCCTGATCGTAGGATACGGGTATTTTGGTTCAAAACTGGGAAACTAAGACGTGTATATGATGAGTCCCTTGAGGTAAGAAATTCCATCTGTACAATGCATGGTACAGATAAATATGTTCTGTTATAATCCCCAACTGAATGCTGTCAATTATAGGTGGCACAAGATCTGCAGAAAAGTGATATCCCGATGTATCGTCTTGATGCTATTGATTTTGGGCGAAGAATGGCTGTTGAGAAGGAAATAGAAAAGACCGAAAATGTTCCACAGCCTAATGCTGTATTTGATGAGAGCAGCAATTTTCTTATTTATGCTACCCTTTTGGGCATAAAGGTATGCTATTTTTTTACTGCACATCTTTTCTTTTATGTAGTATGTGTTTGATATCATTATATGTACTTCAGTTATTTATATAATTATTTTTTATGTTCGGAATGATAAATGTTGCTCAAGAAAATATTTGTCCTTGTGGAATTCCATCTTATGGATCAGCTGCTAGTTAAACAGCATGTTTTGTATTAGCTTTCTAGCAGCTTGTTTTGTATTCATTATGCTCCTATCTAGCTGTTGAGTTCATGTAAATATCTGGCATGTTGCTATTGTTGAACATATTTCTGTATGATTAATTCTGATTTCCCATAAATATGCAGATTATAAATTTGCACACAAATAAGGTTTCAAGAATCCTGGGGAAGGTAGAAAACAATGAACGTTTTCTGAGGATTGCTCTATACCAAGGTGATAAAGGGAATAAGAAGGTTAGAAAAATTCCTTCAGTAGCTGCCAATGTCAATGACAGCAAGGAGCCTTTATCTGACCCAACGCTGCTATGCTGTGCCTTCAAGAAGCATCGAATATATCTCTTTAGGTACATCAATTCAATGATCTTTGGATAGGTCGTATTGGCTGATTCCGCATGCTGCTTCTGTAGACTCCTTTCTCTCCAGATGGTTTTTCTTAAATTTTAATATCCCGCTTCTCAATCCTCTTTTTTCATTATACAGTCGTAGAGAACCTGAGGAGCCTGAAGACGCAACCAAGGGTAGGGATGTTTTCAATGAAAAACCCCCACCGGAAGAGCTTTTGGCTGTATCAGATTTAGGGAAGACTGCTACAACATCACTCCCTGATAATTTGGTATGTTTTCTCAATCATTTCTAAAAATGGTAATTTGCTACTATTGATTTTATGGAAATTTGATATCTTGGTGGGATAGTCTTTGAACATTTTTCCTTTTTAGGTCGCATTTATTTACATGAGTATTTCCTATTTCAGGTGATGCATACTTCTATGGGTGATATTCACTTGAGATTATATCCAGAAGAGTGTCCAAAAACTGTGGAGAATTTCACTACCCATTGCCGGAATGGTTATTATGATAATCTCATATTTCATCGTGTGATTAAAGGCTTTATGATTCAGACTGGAGACCCTTTGGGGGATGGCACTGGTGGGCAATCAATCTGGGGAAGGGAGTTCGAAGATGAATTTCACAAAAGGTATATAAGTTGTATGCCTTTTCCTGTTTTTCTTTTCTCATTTGCAGAAAACAATGCAGTTTTTCATCTTATGTACCGTTTAGATGACAGATGTCTATGCAAGGTCCAGGAAAGATATCTGTATAGTCATGTAAATTTTGCATGCACTGTGCTTATTGTTGTTGAAGAGAACACAATCCATATGAATAATCCTATTTGAATATGCTTATAGTGACAACTGACAGCTATGGCGGCTATCTTGCAGCTTGAGACATGATAGGCCTTTTACTCTTTCAATGGCCAATGCTGGACCAAATACCAATGGGTCCCAATTCTTTATCACAACTGTGGCAACTCCATGGCTAGACAACAAACACACAGTGTTTGGTAGAGTTGTGAAAGGGATGGATGTTGTTCAGGTACCAGCCTTTTTGACCAACTTAGTGACTGTGTGTGAATTTTCATATCCTTTATTGTGCTTCCTAATATGTTTTGTTTTAAACTTAAAAGCAAATCGAGAAGGTCAAGACCGACAAGAATGACAAACCATATCAGGATGTGAAGATCTTGAACGTTACAGTTCCAAAGACATAAGCTCAAACAATTGGTCAGTTTTTCTGCTCTTGATACCATAATCTAACCTCATAATTCATTTTGTTTTGGGGATTGTCTTGAACAAGTGACTTTGCTTGGTGTTTTCCTACAAAATACATACAATGCAAACTAATCCTTAACTGGCACAGATGTCTTGTGAACATTAATTTTTTTAAATTGTTCCCTTTTCTAAAGTTACCTACTACCTCCATCCACAAATATAAGCATTTCTAGCATTTGAAATTTGTACATTTCTGGAGTACTACTTTCCCAATCCAACCACCGCTGCATTTATTGCTCACTTAGTTGTATTTCTAGGCATGGTATTTTCCCTATCAAGTAGAGTCCCAGGGGCATCAAATTAATTTCACCTAAACCTTATTTTCTGTTAAAATCCTAGAAGTGATTATATTTGTGGATGGAAAGAATATAGTACATACATTAAGATAATACTGCCAGTTGCAACAACATTAAGAATATAGCCTGCTTTACTTATGTGGTTATCAAAGCTAATTTCATAATGGTTTGTTGGGTTAGACCTAAATACTTCTAAATTTACTTTAGGAGGTCATCTTTGCTAGACAACCTGTAGGAAAACCAAGCATCCAGTGACCAGTGGTGCTCTTTATTATTACCTTGTGTTATCCCCTGTTTGCCATGGGATTGTTCTCTCTCTCTCTCTCTCTCTCTCTCTCTCTCTCTCTCTTTTTCATGTGGACTGTATGAAGAACGGTTCCATTTCTTTATCACCAGTTTCATGTTGACTGTATGGAGAACGGTTCCATTTCTTGTATCACCAGTGCTCTCATGTGGTCATTTCGTGTGCCTTCTGCAGGTTTGACATTGTACGCATGAGGTTCTTCCACCCTTTGCAAGCCTGTGAAAGACAAATGTTCTGAACTTTATGTGCTGCTGTGGTGCATCGAGTTGGTCCTTCAAACCTCAACCCAGAGGCAGCACCATATTATTAGAAAGCACTGCCTTTGATGAGGTATGTGTTCCGAGTTTTAACTAGCTTTCCCATCCATAACCCAAGGGCAATGGGACTGTAACATTTTTGCTGTACACGGGATTGGTATTGCAATTTAACAATGGAAAAAATGTAACGAGCCAGTTAGATGAGGATACATGGACGATTTTTCCATGCATGGGTGTAAGGGCGTAAGTTTTATTTTGACTAGCCACTGAATGCTGATACCAATTAGACTGAGCTGAGTAACCGTCATTTAGCTGCCGTGTAGAACGATGGCTTTTCGCGGGCGTCATGTTTTGGCGCCGGCTAACTTTTTTTCGGTAGTCTTGATTAACCGATGAGTCGGTCGACGTTGTGATGTTGACATGGTGATGATGCCCGTGTAAACAGACAAGGAAGGGGGAATCCCAATCCCGTGTTTGTTTGGCCGGCCGGTGCGTGCTGGAATTGGGTTAAAGAATTGTTGCTGCAGTGGTGGGGCATGTGCATCGTGAACCTGGACACGGAGAGGAGGTTAGGCATCCTGAGCATCTACTAGGTGTTCCCATCTGACGCTGTCTGTCCACTGAGGTTAAGATCGTACTACAATTATTGTAATAGTGTTGCACAAGGAGGTTAGTGTTGGCTGTGACGTTGCGTTAGAAAATGAAAGGAGTAGAGTAGCGTTGGTTGTCCCCGTGGTGTTGAAAGCGAAAGGAGGACTAGTAATTAGCAAGCATAAATGTTAACCTTTGATAACTTTTGGGATAGTTTGTAATATTTACTCCTTCCGTTCTAAAATGAAACAACCTAAGACTAAATACACCACTACTTAAGATCACGAATCTGAATGTACTTATGTTCACATTCATAGTTTCAGATTGTGTTTTATCTTACTATAGTATTTTGCAATGAAGGAGTATTAATAATTGATCAATCGTGCTCTAATTAACGGGCGTCAGCAATGGCGTGTGCGCATTCGTTGTTGCCCTTTTTTCCCGGGTGGGGGTGAGAACGGTCAACTGGGTCGTAGATCCGGTATGTACTATGCGACTAGGCCGGCGAGACTAGCCGCCCTCGCCCCTCTCGCTGTTTGACGAACAAGAGCGCGCCGCGTGGGCGCCAAAATTAGTTGGTTTGGTGGGGGAAACGAACGGAGAGAGAGGAAACGAGACGGAAGCAGCAAACCTTTCCTTCCTCCGATCGATCGAGCTAATGCCTCGTCACTCCATCGTCGGTTCGGTCGTATAAAAAGCAAGCGAGCGAGAGAGCCGGGCCTCCGCCGCGCGCTTTCCTCCCTTGCTCCCACCACCACACCTGTCCTCCTTCCCCTCCATCGTCGTCTCCCTCCTCTTGTCCCACTCCGACTCCGACATGGCGGCCGCGAAGCACTTCACCTACGTCATCCTCGGCGGAGGCGTCGCCGCGGTAACATCGCCACCCTCCTCCTCTACTCTCTTCAATACGCGCTTGCCTTCTCATGGCCATCACATCATCTCACTCACACGATCGATGAACTCATTTTCATTTTGATTTGTGCAGGGATACGCTGCGCGGGAGTTCGCCAAGCAGGGCGTCAAGCCCGGGGAACTCGCCATCATCTCCAAGGAATCGGTAAACCATCCATCCATCCATCCATCCATCGATTCCTTCCTGAATGAATACTGGACTAGTAATTCCTAATTATTTTTTTTCCTCTTCGTGTTTCTGCTGCAGGTGGCTCCCTACGAGCGTCCTGCTCTCAGCAAGGGATACCTCTTTCCTCAGAGTACGTCACGCCCTCCCCTCCCCTCCCCTGCCCTGCATATTTATTTTATTTTCTCAACATACTACTAATTACTCTCTTCCATTTCTTGCTGCTGATTCATTCCGATCCATCTTTCTCTCTACAGATGCAGCCAGACTTCCGGGATTCCACACCTGCGTCGGGAGCGGCGGAGAGAGGCTCTTGCCTGAATGGTATTCCGAGAAAGGTACAATTACTGCTTTTTTTTCTCTTTTCTTTTCCATATAATTTGCAATCTGCAGTTGCTGTTCGATCTTCATGCCAGAGTACTTTGTTGATTGCAAATTGAAATGGTTATCCATGAGTTCTTCTGGTCACTTCACAAACCCGTTGCCGTACATTAATTCACAGGCTTTCAGTGCCAGACTGCCAGTAGTACTAACTTGGAAGCTAACCAAACCTTCAAAAAACTTGAAAAGTACCAGTAGTAGTATTTTATAACTCAAGTGTCGTTTCATTAATTCTATCCTCTGATCTCTGATCCTTTTCGAGTAAACAAAGGAATGCCAGCTAATTTAAATGGCCAAAAATATTCCTCTATAAATAAAATTGCTAAAAGTCACCATTTTCTGAATACCGCAGTCTTTCTGACAGATTGATGGCAAACTGAATGAGAGAGTATACGGTGTTTCCATTTGTAATGTTGCAGGTATCGAGCTGATCCTGAGCACCGAAATTGTCAAGGCTGATCTTGCCTCCAAGACATTGACCAGTTCAGCTGATGCAACCTTTACCTATGACACTTTGCTCATTGCCACTGGCTCCTCGGTGAGTTCTCAACTGTACCTTTAAGCTTTAACCCACAAAGAAAAGAGGAATGGTGTTCTTTTTAGTAAATTTTGGTTGTGAACTTGTAATGTTTGTTTATTCATATCGGTTTTTCCAGAGCTATGTTGCTCATGTCATTTTTTTGGGAATACGCGAGACGCGCATTTTTGTATTAAGATGTTGCTCATGTCATGAACATCTGTCTGCTTGATCAGGTCATAAAGCTCACTGACTTTGGTGTTCAAGGAGCAGAGGCCAACGACATATTGTACCTGAGGGATATTGAGGACGCTGACAAGTTGGTCGCGGCTATGCAAGCCAAGAAGGATGGAAAGGCTGTGATTGTCGGAGGTGGCTACATAGGACTTGAGCTTAGCGCAGCCTTGAAGACCAACAATTTTGATGTCACTATGGTGTACCCTGAACCTTGGTGCAGTAAGTCTCCTTATTCTTTGCATCCAGAAAGATTTACTACTATAAATTGTGTTTTCTGAATACTCAACAGCAAGGAAACAAATACCTCTCATCTTTATAGTTGTAACGTATTTGGCCAATGAAATCTCATATTGGAGATGCCATCTGTTGTAGTGCCCCGTCTCTTCACTTCTGGCCTTGCTGCTTTCTACGAGGGATACTACGCTAACAAAGGAATCCATATCATAAAGGGAACCGTGGCTGTTGGTTTTGATGCTGATGCCAATGGAGATGTGAGCACTCTGTAGTTACCACTTAGTCCAGTATCATCTTGCTGTGAAGGCAAATGTTCACCTTGTTAATTTTTTTTTTCTGTTGGCAGGTTACTGCGGTGAAGCTAAAGAATGGAAACGTGCTGGAAGCTGACATTGTTATTGTCGGTGTCGGTGGCAGGCCACTGACTCATCTCTTCAAGGGTCAAGTTGCAGAGGAGAAGGGTGGAATCAAGGTTTGTCCGGTTTCTGTTCATCTTTCAGATTCTGCTCTATCTGCTACATTTGTTGCGTGATGATTGTATTTCAGGCTATTGTCCATTTGAGTCACCCTAATTAGCAACTGAACCTTCTTTCGAGCTTGTTCTTGCTTATACCTTCGAATTAGCTGAACATTTCAAATCTGCATGTGTCTTCCAGACTGATGCATTCTTCGAAACGAGCGTTCCTGGTGTATACGCCATTGCCGACGTGGCCGCCTTCCCGATGAAGCTATACAATGAGATTAGGAGAGTAGAGCATGTTGACCATGCTCGCAAATCAGCCGAGCAGGCCGTGAAGGTGAGCCATCCGTTCGTTCTTGATTCTTCATCCTCGTTGCCGCCATTGATCAGGATTCAGAAGTTCTTTGTGATAACCAAATTCACTGGCTTCAATGAACTTGCAGGCGATCAAGGCGAAGGAGGCCGGCGAGTCGGTGCCGGAGTACGACTACCTGCCCTACTTCTACTCCCGGTCGTTCGACCTCTCGTGGCAGTTCTACGGCGACAACGTCGGCGAGGATGTGCTGTTCGGCGACAACGACCCCACGGCGGCCAAGCCCAAGTTCGGCTCGTACTGGATCAAGGACGGCAAGGTCGTCGGCGTCTTCCTCGAGGGCGGCTCGGCGGAGGAGAATCAGGTCATTGCCAAGGTCGCCAGAGCTCAGCCGCCGGTGGCCGACGTCGAGGCTCTCAAGAAGGAAGGACTCGACTTCGCTGCCAAAGTCTGAACCTCTCTATGCACACGCATTTCATTTTGTGGACGCTGTGATGCTGCCATCTTTTCGATTCTGAGCTTCGTAGTGATTTTGTTAGCTCCGATCCTATATATGGAGGATTTGTTTTGTTCTCATTGTGAATTTGTGATGTAGTCACTGTGGCGAGGTCCCAATAATGTCTGTACTCTGTAGCTTCTGTGATTGGTTGTTTTCTTTTTAAAAAAACCTGTGTATCGTCTGTGTTTCTTTTTTTTTTATCACGGATTAGGCTGTTCTTTGCTAGTTACTTAAGAAGATTTGACAAATGAAATCAGAACAGTTTTAGGCCATCTTCTTTTTAGCTACTCAATTAGAGCATGTTTGGTAGGGACTCTAACTCTTAAATTTAACTTCAAGAGCCGTGTTTGGAGTGGAGTTGTGGAGCAGTCTAAATCTAGCTCCACCTCCCTAGTTCATCCAGCTCCATTCTCATTTTTGGTGAAGCTGAAACTGTTTGGTCGGGCTTCTGCTTCAGAATAGTGTGAGAGCTAAAGCTCTATCAATAAACCCTTATTATGGATTATTTGCTCCATACTTCAAAAATATTTGATTCATAATTTGTATAGATAATCCACTACAATAATTTTGGTTAATAACCTATTTTACACTGGGCCTTAATTTGGTGAGTTTGAGTTAGTACGAAACGAATTCATTTTAACTTGAACACTCTAAAATTCTACATATCTATCGCGGTGTGTTGCTATCGGGATTTATAATTTTTGTAGGAACTTATAATTGTCATAGACAAAATATTAATATATGGGATTGTACAGCCCCTTTGGCATAACATTTACGTTGTTGGGATATTATTGGATTTTACTAACAGCAACAGATAGTTAAACCTACGAGCTTGCTAATTATCAGTACTCGCTTCTTCTCTTTTGTTATTGATTTGCAATAATGCACTAAACCGCAAAACATATATGGAGTTATGGATTATTACTAGTAAGTTTGAATATTTATAGTTACGTTATTGCTAGAATTTACAATTCAGGGTAGCACGCATAAGAATATCTAGGATTGTACGACCCGTGGACATTGCATTTGCAATCATAGGATATTGTTAGATTCTGGTAAAATAATTGGTACTCACATGATGTTATAGTTCCTTAACTAATTGGTATAGTATCCACCAACTAGATTGCTGCTTCAACATCACTCATGTTTGCTCTTCGATTCACTAAACTGCAGTGCACATGATGTTATACAGTTCCTTAATTGGCACCCCTCCTAAAACTTCTACAATTTAAAATTTGTGCTAAGGCATAGCAACTTTTTTTCACCTCAACCAGACACAATCATCTATCACTTTTTTTCACCTATTTTACTTATCTCAACCAGTGACAACAATCCCTTATTTAATTTTACTATCTCTTTAATATCCGTAAAAATCTCAAGTATTTATGTTTTTGAGACTGACAGAGTAGTCTACTATTTTTCTTGCAATTTGTAAAGTCTACTATTTTTCTTGTTATTTGTAATTACATAAATTATACGAATTGTAAAGATTTGGCACATTTTTTCAAGTGAAAATGCCACTTGTTACTTTTTAATTATGCAATAAAACCTCCAAGCTGTTGCTTGAGATGAACTAAAGTCAACTAAAAAGGCAGCTTTGGGTGTCTTGTTACTTGTAGTAGTTTTTTAATATCACCTTAATTTACTTCATACACATAGCTGTGTGATCGCAGTAATGAACAGATATACACGAATTATACCGGCATTAAACATGAAATAAATATACACATTTAATCATTCCTATACCAAGGGCTCATTCCTTTATAGGAAAGGGCTGGGGAAATAAAATCTAACCAAATTTATGCGATTATTGTTCCAACTCCAGCTCATGCTCATCAATTCAAATTAAGTAGAAATTAAAATTAAATTCCAAGAGCAGCTCACAACAGCACAAAAGAAAATTAAAACTTGCCTTTGGGAATCCAATGCCCACTCCTCCCCATATAAATCACACCCGTCGCATCGCTCCGATTCCCAATCCCCACGCTTCCATTCCATCCATCTCTCTCGCTCTCTCGCTTGCTCGCCCCGCCGATTCCCGATCGGAGTGAGGAGCTCGCCGCTGCTGCTTGCCATGGCGGCCGCCGCGCTGACCAGCCAGCTCAACGCCCTCGTCAACAACATGTTCGCCATGGTGAGTGAGGCGCTTCACACGCTCTTTTTACGAATTTTTTGCGCCATTTTTGGCGGAATTCCGGGTGTGGATGACGAGATTTTTTTGGGGTTCCATGTGTGATGTTATTGTTGGATTGTGTGTATTGGGGAGTTAGGGTTTGCTGGACGACCAGTTCCAGCAGCTGCAGATGCTGCAGGACTCCACCGCGCCGGACTTCGTCTCCGAGGTCGTCACGCTCTTCTGCGACGACGGCGAGCGGATCATCTGCGAGCTCTCCAGGCAGCTGTGCGTGTAACTGTTTCGCTTGCTTTTGATCGGATCGTTCGTGTTCGTGTTGGGGATTGGCTTGATTTTGGTTTGGGAGATTTGATTGCTGCGTGTGTGTGTGTGTGTGTGTGTGTGTGTGTGTGTGTGTGTGTGTGTGTGTGTGTGTGTGTGTGCAGGGAGAAGCCAAATGTGGATTTTGACAGGGTGGACTCGTATGTGCATCAGCTCAAGGGGAGCAGCGCAAGGTGAGCTTTTCCCCTGTCCTTTTCTGGATATGGAAATTTATGTTGTTATGGATAATTATTGCTGTTATTGTCACTTGGCGCACGAAATTGGGTATGAGATCCCTTTCGAATGGGAGAATTTAAAGCGTTGTGCGAAGCATGTAGTCAACTTTGGGAGGATTGTCATATGTTTGATTATTGCATCTTTTATGGCGTAGAATCTGACAAAAATGGTCCATTCCACCCAAAGTGATTGGACAGTTCGAAGAGCAGCGGTTCACATTGTTCTATCATATGAATTGCCCTTCTGAGCAATTTGGGATGGGTTGTCGTCCGTTTGATAGCTGTATCATTCTATCATGTAGATATGACAAATTCAGTCCCGCTCCCATGTTGATCAGACGGTTCAAATAGTAGCATTCATATTCTCCTGTTCCTTGTGGTGCTCCAGATCTATTCAAGGAGGATTGTCATATGCTTCATTGTTCCAGCATTCCTTGACATAGATCTGAAAACATGCTTCTGTTCCATCACACTTATTGAATGGTTCGAAGAACTTTCCTCCATTCCAAAATGACTTGGTTTACACGTGAGAGTCCTATAGTTTGAAATGCTTCATATTTACGAATATTGTATCTAATTTTACTTAGAATTCTATTTTTTGTTATTTTTCAAACCCGGAGTGTTATCACATTTTAGATTAGTTGGTCATTAAAAGGTAGACTGCTAGAGAATATATCATAGATTAGTGAGAGAAGGGTCTAATGGTATTCCTAAGTGTATAGACCATAAACTACTTCACCATGGATGGTCCTTCAGAGCTTCTATGCACCATATGCACAAACAGTAGTAGGATGACACAGCATGTAAAATTCCTGTTTAAATGCCTTTTTTTTTTTTCCTTTTGGTGTAGTCATGGTTTTGTACCTTTACACCTTCCTTCCTCGAGATCCCTAATTTCCCTATACCCGAAGATATCTTCCTGATGGCTACAAAAGAAAAATGTTTCCATTTGAGATTTGTTTACTGAATTTTGGAGATCTCCTTACTTGGTCATATCTGCAGGTGCTATCAAATTTTCTTCTTGCTCCAGATCTTAATAGTACCTAGAATTTAATCCTGCTCTTTATCAGTATATCCTCAGAATGATGTTTTAAGGTACATTTTGTAAGGGTACACTGAACCTATTCAAACAGGTTGTCTGGAGTTTATCCAGATTAGATTTTTTTTCTTGAAACAGAAATTTAAATAAGAAATTGACAAACAAATCCTTTCGCCTATTCAATTTGGGTTCAGGTATATTTATGTACTGGAGTGTTATTCTACAGAATCAAATTATGTATGAAAATAACTCACCATGGTTCTTCATGTTAGATCTCCTTATATATTTAGAACTGGAACTACCAATTGGCATTCATACACATCACTACAAATATTAAATCTTGTTGATAGTAGGCAACTCACAAGCCAGACGGAAATGATCAATAAAAACATGCAAATCTGATAGTAATATCATCGTCCCAGAATTTCTAGTAGGTCAATGATAATATTGCATTGTTGAAGATATAATCAAATTTGTTGCTCGTCTTTCCATTAAAGCATTTGAGGAGCCTTCCTGACTGTATATCCTTGCATGTTTGCAGTGTTGGTGCTCAGAAAGTGAAGAACACTTGCATTCAGTTCCGTGAGTTTTGCCAACAGAGGAGCAGAGATGGGTTAGTACCTATTAATACAGTATTCCCATTTTTTTATCATATTATTGCACATATCGTTATATGCATATCTTAACGATGATCTAGTGCACTCTTTTCTTACATTTTCCTATTGTTAGTGTTTTCTGTGGTATAATGTTGACGTAATTTCTTGCATTATTTTTTCTATTGTAACATATCTTCATGGAAAGCAACAACTGGCTGATTCTACTCTGCCTGTTGACTTAGGATTGTAATTGCTCCACTCCAATTTCCAAGATAATAGAATCACTTTAAAAGGTGTGACTAATGTAAACTCTATGGCAGGCATGCCTTGATTTGAAATGAAATAGTTTGATTCTTATACAGAACTGGTAGATTTTTCAGTATTTTTTTCTTTTTTGAAGAAAGGGCAAAAGCTTTGCCACTTATGTATTAATAAAGCAGAAGGGCCATGACAAAAAACATTTACAAAAGGGAAAGGGAAAAACAGGGGATGTGATGCTCGCGCACCAGCCCAAAAAACACTACACTCTGCTAGTCGATTATTCCCAGGGTTTTATCTCCTTAAGCTTGACCGCACCTGCCTTTACCCAGGCTGAGGCTTCTTCTTTGATTTTTGCTAGTAGGGTCATTGGGGTGGTTGCAACATGACGGATAACTCTTGCGTTTTGCAGGTTGTCCAATATGCCCCCAAATATTTTAGCATGCATATTTGTAGTGGAACCAAGTTGTTCCATCCTCTCTGTATGTTGTGCAGCTATTCAGTAAAGTAGGGTCATTTTGGTTTGAAATCCTACCAAAATATTTGTAGTGCCAATTCTTGGGCAAGTTTTGGCACTACAATTTTTTTGGTAGGGTAGATTTATCTCAACTCCATAGATTTAGCAAAAGTTGGTTCCAATCCAAATGGCTACCAAGTACTACTATTCAAGGCTACCAAATACTTGGTAGGGCAGGAATTGGCCTCAAACCAAAACGGCCCTAAATCTACATTATATTGATCTTTATATCTTCATTTATGTAATAGCCTAAAATAAAATATGTTATTTTTGTGACAATTGTCCCCTTCTTTGTGTTGGGCCTTTTCCATTATCAGGTGCCTCAAGACTTTGGATTTGGTGAGGACTGAATTCTATGATCTTCGTAACAAGTTTCAGGCTATGCTTCAGGTATTACCTTGCGTTCCCAAATTACATCCTATACTCCCTGTTGTGTTGCACTGAGTTGGAGTGGACATCTTAAAAGTAAGTGATTTTGTGTAAGGTTTGGAAGTGATTTGTAAGGTTTGCTTTATGATTGGAACATTAAATTGTAGAGATGGTTGGATATGATGGAATTAATACTGTTACTTTCCGTGCAACACACAAAAACAATCAACAATGATTAGTCTGTTTGCTGAATGAATAGCATTAGTCTTTTCATGACACATATATGAGGTAGTACAGTGGTATAGTTGCTGTGAAGCATTAAATAGCATGCGAGATAATGGCAGTTGGCAGAAGATGAACATGGTATATTTATTTCTTTACAAAGTTGGTTTTTTTTCTTTGTCATTTCCAGTGCTACATTTGTACTTAAGCCTTTACGTGGTACCACTTGGTGTGGTAATAATTATGACTTACAGATATCGCACTCAAAAACCTTGTTTGTCTTATAACTATTTTATTTTATCCCATCCTTGCGTGTGGATATATCTATGGGATAATTCCAAGAGGCCTAGAGTTGTTTGGTCCCCAACTTGTATTTTTCTTCTCATAATATGGGTAGACCTGATCTTTTACCTCCCCAGTTTGGCCCTTTCTCATTTCTGAATGGAAAATGGTCATTTAATTCTGGCTTGCATTTTTCGATTTCTTGGGCTGTCAAATCTTACTAGTCTTATGACCTGACGATGCAAATTTACCTTAACCATTTATAGAACTGATCTGTTATTTTGCTTTCCAATGCAGCTGGAGCAGCAAATCCAAGCTTGTTACCCTAAACATTAAACTGGCGCGACAGTGGAGCTGCATGTTTACACAACTACTGTGCCTTTGGAGTTGTAGAACATGCTCGTTTAGCTTTTATCTTGGAGTCATTTGTTTCTGGGATGTCTGTAGCTGTTTAGCAACAAGCTGATCTAGCTTTGGCACCTTCATTACTGAGTAGTCGCTCTCAGTTTCTGTGATGGGGACAACCGTTTCCAGCAATTTGTAGTATCTGTTGTTATCTGGTGTCTCAGCTATAGTTTTTTTCGGTCGTTTAGAAATGCAACAGCTGTGCAATTTCGCGAAAATTGCATTTTGCTGGTTGATTAGGGCGGCTTGTGGTATGTTGTTGAGAACAAAGCGATACTTAATATCGATATAATTGCTGTTTGAAACCATGTGTTGTGGGATGAATGTGAACCGTGCCTTGTTTATCATCTTGCTCAGGTCAAGTTGAATTATTTTTGGATTGACATGCACCAGAACAGTCAAGAACACATCTACAATCCAGCCTTTCCATCATCTGGTATGATTTTCCATATCCTATATCTCTTGTGGTTGATGCAAGCTACTCCAGAAATTTATCCTGAAACACTGCATGCAAATTTGCAACTGGTTCTGGGGAGTTTAGGTGAAAAATGGGTGAGTTGTGTCCGTTGTTATGAACCCAAATGAACGGAACCTGTAGGTTTGGTAGCATTTCTGCATTAGCTGGCCAACATCAACATGTTACTCCCTGCAATGTACAACAGATTCAGGTTTAGCTGCACACAACACTGAATTTATTTTAAGGCAATTGCTGCACTGCTGAGGCATTGAGAACAGCAATAAATCAAGGTCACATGCATTGTGCCACTTGAACAGTTGGAACTGGCCCTTGTTGATGGCTATACCTAAGCTTAGGTGGACTCGTTCATCATACATGTACTATAATACTACTAGACTTAGGAAAAGTGGTCCTAAATACTCGTACATTGTTCCTACTTAGGAGAATAAATGTATAATAGCGTTGGGCTAGCTACTGTCATGGAATAAATCATTTCATTTATTATTATTATACGTCTAAATTTGGAGGCGATTACAACAAATTGTTTCCCTTCTTGGACCTCAGATTTTTTTTTTGTCTTTACATTTACCGTCGGAATTTGCACGTGATTCCTTCAAAATTCTTGTGTTCCAAACAGGGTCCCGGTAAGTGGAATTATGTTATTTTTCTCCTCCCTTTGACCTGAAAAGATTTATATTTTCAGTCATCCTAAGAAAATTTACTAGTAAGGGGGAAATACCATAGTCTCTCTGGTAAGTAAGAGGTATTGAAGGGATAAAACTTCGATTAAGGATAGATATAAGATGATAGGAATCGATTGTCTTTTGGATAAATTTTGAACCTGAAATCAAGTGTTTTTTTTAATGGAGGGGAGTAGGTAGGAAGAAAAGCAGAGAGAGGTGAAAACTGACAGCCAATGGCACCCCTTGAATCGCAATGCTATATACATGTCTCGAGAAAGAAAAAAAGATGGTACTGTAATGTTGAAGCTAAAGGAGCGCAAGTTGGATGCACATTGTTGGCAGGCGGTTGTTATTTTTCAGGAAATCTGTTTCCCCTGCCGGCCTAATAATGCCAATAAATGCAAGGCACGCCGAGTAGGTCTAGCAGCATTTGCATCTCATGCCGTCTTACTTGCTGCTGCTGCTGCTTCACTGGCACCACACACTGGGGCTTGCTACAACAGTATCTTCAGAATTGCACTGGTAGTATCAATCTAACATACTCATTCAATCTTTTTGATGATGTGATCCATGCAGACATCCAACATGCATGAAATGCAGTTGGTGGCTAAAGTTTCTTGAGTGGTACTGATGGAACTATCAGTCTCCAGTGCTGAAATCAAGAAAAAGGGTCTGCTGTTGTAACCAATCTGCCTCTTGTTGTTAGCTAATCCAGCTGCTGCTCGCAAGTGTCGACATGCTTGGTTTCGTGCAATCACTCATTGACAACAACACCCTTTGTCATACATTCTCTGTCTTCTTCTTTTGCAGCCTTGTTGAGTAGCAGTACAACTTAAACTCTACTACTCACCAAATGCAAATAGAATTATGCCAAGCAGCCAACAGATAGATAGAACGGTGGTGATCGTGCTGGTAAGATGATGAACAAGATTATTACAGGACCGATGGATAAAGCAGTGTAAAGATCAATTATCAGTAGTATAAAAAGGACATAGCAATAGTAAGTTGTGAATTCAGTGATGAGGAGTGGAAGAATGGCAAGGGCAACAACAAGAGGCATTCAAAGAGCTGCACCTTCTTCCTCTTGTACTTTACCAACCCTAGCAGTAGCTTTCGATGTGCACTCCTCAAGATCCGTTATACTATCTGAAATTTCATGATCCCAGGGATACATTCCTGATTTCCTGCCTGCCTTGTGACAGGAAATACCAGGAACATAGCAAGAGGGAAATGCAGTTTTGCATGATTGGCCATGTTCAGTTAAGATCAACTCTGAACTCTGTTTTTCATAATGCATGGCCCAACTCTGAACTGAAGCTCCAAATAAAAAGATGATTTTGGTTTACCTAGCTCATTGTGCAGAAATGCATATGCTACACCCATAACTGATTGTTACATATGGATCAATTAACTATAGATATTCCACACTGAAGGTTGAACAGCTATATGTTGATTTGCCATTATTTGTTGGTCGGGTAAAGTTTTTCAGTACCAGCCCTGTTCAGTTTAGTGTTCACTTCTCCTTTAGGGTGCTGAATGCTGGACAATTTTATGAGCCTCCCAAGTATGGTAAATAATTAATGTAGAACATATCACAACACCAATCTACCCAATGGCATTGCCCATGGATATACTTGGTTTTTAATTTATGCTGCTTACCGATCAATCCAGCCCAACTTTGTTACTGTGGCATGCATGCCAGCAACCAGCAGCAGGGTGAATAGCATATTAGCATGTGTCAAATAATTTTGCTTATCATATAAGCAAGACATAGTAGGGAGTAATCACGCTGCTGTTCATTGATCACTACATGCATTCTTACCACTTACTGTTCTGTGTCCTAATAGGGAGTACTACATGCAGATACTGAATTCCGAATCCATTTTTGGGTGTGTTTAGTTCACGCCAAAATTGAGAGTTTTCACTGGACAAAAAAAGTTTTCGCTGGGCCCAAAATTGAAAGTTTGATTGAAATTGAAACGATGTGACATAAAAGTTGAAAGTTTGTGTGTGTGGGAAAGTTCTGATGTGATGAAAAAGTTGGAAGTTGGAAGAAAAAGTTGGGAACTAAACCAGGCTTTTGTTAGCTAGTATAGCTCAAACTAGAGAAGCAAACAGAGCGGATAGTTTCCGTTCGCTTCAAAGAAAAAGAAACCACGGATACAGTTCGAAGCGGATAATCCGGATATACGGATACGGAACTTCAAACTAGTCAAATGAACAAGTTCTAGAATTACATTTGTTTGATTAGGTAGGTGTAACAGATACCTTTTGTTTGTCGTTATTTTGTTCTTCTGATTATTAGTGGGGACAAAAATCAGATAATAACACAGTGGTCAATTAATCCATTGCCTTGAAGGAAGAATGCAGCACGTACAATAAGATTAAATGATCCTTCCCGAAAGTGCTCGAGTTAAGTCGAACACAGTGTGGTTGGACTGAAGTCAACTGCAGATTAAGGCAGGCAGCTGAGAGATCAGAATCAATGGAAAGCACCATTATGTATGAACTGGTCAGTTGGCCCATACTCCTTTTGTTAAATTGAAGACGTTGTGATTAATTTGTTTGCTGCAGTGGTTAAGATTTGATCATTTCGTTGCAACTACATACATACAGCATTGCAAATTGCAGCAGCAGCAGGAGGAGGCAAGACTGCAGTGCTCATGTGAATGTGGTCCTCTGGCGGCATTCATGGTTTCATCTTATTGCAAAACAGTGATTTTCCTGACCAATCAGAAATTCACAACCAATAGAAAGAAGATACACACAAACAACATATTTTAGATAACAAAGATATACACAAACATCTTGATTACTTGGATGATTTGGAAGGAGAGAAATGGCAGGATATTTGAAGGAGTCAGTCAGACCGTCGCCGAGGTCTCCTAGTGCATTTCTGAAGAATGGTGGGCATGGTGAGCTGCTGGCTTTGGAGGCATCACGATTGAAGAGATATAAAATCCATGTATACATGTAGTTAGGCGTTTGCCGGCAAAAACCTTTCCTTGTTCTAGGATTGGGATGTGTTCACAACAAACATGTTGGTTGTTTTATGTAACATCTCCTCATTTTCTTAATATAATTGGTCGGGGTTTTCCTACGCCGCCGACCGGCGAAAAAAAAAATAACAAAGGCCTGGTTTAGTTCCTAATTTTTTCTTTAAACTTTAAACTTTTTTATCATATTAAAACTTTTCTACACACACAAACTTCTAACTTTTCCGTCACATCGTTCCTATTTCAATCAAACTTCCAATTTTGACGTGAACTAAACACACCCAAAGATACCTCCGTCTAAAAATAAAGTCGTTTCTAGCTATAAATATAGAAATAGTCATTTTTATTTATAAATATAGACAGGAACTTATCCAAGTTTATAACGCCGTGTTTAGTTCCAAAATAATTCTTCAAACTTTCAACTTGTCCATCTGTTAACAGTGAAATTTGGTAATCGGCAAAGACGTCATCAGCTTATAATCATTATCGGCTGCAGCATTTCGGAATCAGCCGATGGGAGTTATCAAGTCGCCAATAGTCGGATTCCTGCTATATTCGGTTAAGGAAATCAATCTACTAAAGGAAGCTTATCCCGAAGTGACCGAGTTTAAAGAGGATGCGACATGGCAGTTTATCTATTAATTAGGAATAGTTTGTTAGTTTCCTTTTATCTTTAGGAAGGTGTGTTTAGTGTCCGATAAGGACTTTATGTTTTCCTTTTATCTTTAGGTTAGTTTCTTTCTTGTCCGACAAGGACTTGTATCAACCCATGGATATAAATATGTACACCCAAGGTCTATGTAATCTATCTCCACGATCAATACAATTCGGCGTATCGCCACCTTTTACATTTTCTACTTTATTTTATCGTCCGGCGGGACTTGGCACTTGACGCGGGGCTGCATCGGTGTTCGATCTTCGGCGAAGGGATAAGTCCAATGTTCCGTCGGTCTAGGCAATTGTATCGTCTACGTCGGCGTCGTTCAAGACTGCATCAGTACATTCGACCTCTGAATTACTCTGGTTTGGATAATATATTTGCCTGGCTATTTATCATATGTCTATGTTAATCTAGTCCTAGCATCTCAATTTAGCTCTATCGGCTGTCTCTCGTTTTAGGGTTTCTGCCGGTATCGGCTAAATCGCCTTGCTATATTAGATTAGCCTAGACATCTACCACCCTGAAAATCAGTCAACGGCTTGATTGTCTAGATATTGTGTTTCTTTTCATACTTAGTGCTGCATCAGTTAAGTTTGATCTACTAAGTCATGCTTAGAACCATAATCTCTAGCTTGCTTTTTGACTGCCAATAAGGGTTTCATCGGGGTTTCAGCCGATGAGTTATCTGGACGTTGCATCGGCTCATAAGGATTGCATATACATATAAGTTAGATTTAGCCGATCGCAACATAGATTTCATTGTTTAATCTAATATTGTGGATTTAATGACATCGGACCTCCAGCCGATGTATGCTTTAACCTTCAGATCAGTGCTTATTATATATTGTTTCTAGCCGATTGGTTTCTATCGGATTATATTATTGTTATTTTATTACATCCTCATCAGCCGATTGCTTTCATATCATTATCTACGTTGGACATATAGCCGATTGCTTAAACCCTATCGCTATCGGCTGGTATCGGCATCGGCTATTATCGGCTATCGGCTAGAACTACTCCATCGGCTTGTCAACCGATCGGCTGTTTTGATCTACTATTTGCATATCTTGTCAGTTGCAGGATCAAACTGACTGGCACGCTCGCATCTAATCAAGATTTGGACCTGCACAGGAGATAAGCAGATCTCCCAGGCTGGTGTGTTCGATTTTCTCGTCAACACCATCACATCAAAACTTTCCTACATACACAAACTTCCAACTTTTCCGTCACATCGTTCCAATTTCAATCAAATTTTCAATTTTAACGTGAACTAAACACACCCAAAGATACCTCCGTCCAAAAATAAAGTCGTTTCTAGCTATAAATCTAGAGATACTCATTTTTATTTATAAATATAGACAGGAACTTATCCAAGTTTATAACGCCGTGATTAGTTTCAAAATAATTCTTCAAACTTTCAACTTTTCCATCACATCAAAATTTTCGTACACACAGATTTCCAACTTTTCCGTCACATTATTCCAATTTTAACCAAACTTTCAATTTTAGTGTGAACTAAACACAGCCTAACTAGAAAAAGTTTCATTTTAGGACAACGGTAGTATTTATCAAACTCATACCGGTGAATTTTGGTATATATGATGGATACTGAAGTAATTAAGTAACCATTTTTTTTCTCAAATTAAAAATTGATATTAGTTATCTATGTGATGTAATTTAGCAGTGGAGCGAAAGTACTTGTAATCTAGCGGTTAAAATGCTTAAATATCATCCCTAGATCCTCGATGCACTCCTCGCGGGAGCAAATTTCAGACCTAAGTTAAAAAATAAAGTTACTTGTTGACTCCCGTAAAAATATATGTTAAGAATCGATCTATGGGTAGGTTCTTATCTATGGGTAGGTTCTTGTTCTATGGGGCAGGGGTCTTAAAGAACGGGTTAAAAACCGATCCATAGAAGCTACTCCGCATGTGAAAGACCAACCATTTTATTGAGGCTTTTTTCTTTTTAATGAAAAAAAGAGAGTCGTATTTCAGGAGTGTGTACTGATGAACCATTTAACTCTCCCTTCGGCTGCAGCTGTGCATATGGACAGCGCTATCTCCCTCCTGCTGCATTAACTCTTCAGTAATTCCGGGCACACATGCACAGATGATCCAGTAATACTCTGACACGCCTAGCAGGATGTTAGGTGATCGTCTGATCAAGCACTAGTGATCGATAATCCTGCTCCTTTTTTATTACTTATTTTTTGACCGAATTGGTCCAGCTTATATTGGAAGCAACAAGAGATCGATTTGCCTATCTAATTGCCTATATATATCTGCACATGAGCCTCCCTCTTGCGTGCCTCACTCACAGTCACAGGTGCTTGCTTAGCTTAGCTTAGCTTTGCTGCTGCTCCTTCTCATTCATAAGCCAGCAGCTAGCTAGCAAGCAGCACACACATATATCACAGGCCATCTCTCTATCCCTAATTAAGCTATATACTCCATATAGCTAGCTAAACACAGGAGGAGTGGAGGAAGGAGAGGCTAGCTGATCTAGCTATCTGCAGTGATTAGTTAAAATGATGGCTTCTGATAGGTTGGATGCAGAAAGGATCATAGAGTACTTCAAGGGCAAGAGCATCCTCATCACTGGAGCAACTGGCTTTCTTGGCAAGAGTACGTTAATTGTGTGTGCATATATATAGTAGCTAGCTAGCTAGCTAGATCTTGTTCTTGTTCTTGTTCTTGTTCTTGTTCTTGCAAGGACTGGATATGAATGCTCATTGCTGATGGAGCTCATTGCTGCTGCTGCTGCATATGAGTGCAGTTCTTGTGGAGAAGATACTGAGGGTGCAGCCTGATGTCAAGAAGATCTACCTGCTCGTTCGCGCCATCGACCAAGCATCTGCAAACCAACGCGTCCAATCTGAGGTTGATTCATCTCATCCATCCATGCATCTCTTCCTATTTTTTTATACGTACTTAATCAATTTCGTATTATCTTCGTTTTTTAATATATGATACGGCTGACTTTTTCCTCAAACTTCGACTAACAATACTATTCATTTATTTAGTCAATTAAAGTGAAAAGAGTACCACTGTATCTGTCATCAAAAGTATTTTAAGTATACATAATATCTATTTGTATAAATATTAATTGTAGAATGGACCAATAGTCAAATAAACTTAAAAATGGTCAACTGTGTCATCTGTTGAAAATAAATGGAGGTAGAATTTAAAAGGAGACGTATATCACCTAGTATTAAAATACGTACATGGCTGCAGTTGATTGGCTAGTTGGTGCTGTCAATTTTTTTCTTGCTCCATCAGTTTCTGTAAGTTAAAATAATATGTGTTGGTTGGCCTGTTACTGTATTTTTCGCCGGTCTGCCAAGAAACCAACTTGTCTGCATGGTCTTCTTATCTTGTACTCCTCGACACATCCAATCACTATCACTTACAAGCAGTAGGTAATAAGCTCACCTACTGCGTTGCAAATCTACTAATTTTACTGTTAAAATGTTAGAAAAATAGAAAGTCATCACGCACTCGCTCTGATCAAGTAGTCCGCTGAACTTACAAGTTACTACAACGGTATATATAATTCATACTATAGTTGTGTTGATATGACTAATCTTTTGAACATAAATAAACATGTATTAGTACTAGTACATATATAGCTGAAATTCAGCTCGTTATTAGCAATATATAGATGCATGGAAACCGTGTAGCTTTCTCATGCCTACTGATTGATTCGATATGTGACTATGTGAGAGGTGACAGCCATGTCCTTTTACGCTGAATAGGTTGATGATTCGTGATAATATCATTCGATGGTAAAAATAAATTAATTAAATATTATAAAATTGCAAATCAAATTTAAATTCATTTATAACAAAGTTTACACTACCATTTAGAAGCTCGGGAAGCGTATATTTACTAAGTCATTTCATTCCTTGAAATAAATATAATTTAGAAAATACAATTTAAAAGCTTGGAAAACATAAATAAATATAATTGAATTTTAAAAATCATTATAGTTATCCTGTTATTTTATTCCTCGAAAAATAACAGTGTCGGGTATAGTTGTGACAGAGTGCAAGGATGGGAATGTTGATAATTTACCGCAATGAAAAACAGTTCGACGTGTGTATCAGTGTAGAGCTACCAAGCAGAGCATCATATCCCAGTGACATACGGTGAAGTCTTAAAAAAATTAACTTCTGACTAGTACGAATCTTAGGTTGGTCTAAGTTTGTCTGATCTGAGCCATCCGTAGAAGGGATCGATGGTTCAGATGGAGCAGAATGTAGGCATTATTAGTTGGAAGCTAGCATATGATGAGGCGTGGGCGTCCAAACGAATAAAAATCTTTTAAAATTAATTTATTGAGTATGGTCAGAATACTGCTAAAATGAACATTTTCAAATTTTTGCTATGCTAAAAAATTTTGAGTAAGTTGACAGCATATATTGCCTTTTTAATAGGATAGACTAAATGTGGTGTTGCCGGAATTCTCTAGGTAATAAACTAAATACCATATATTTATCAATTTTATCAAACAATGATACAGTTTAAAATAACATCAATCTAAACAGGTTCGTTATTTAAGTACTACTTACTTTTTATGCTAAATATAACTATACTAGTTATGTTCATAAAGACAATATTGTAATTCTTTAAAAAAATGATAGTCAAAAATGAATTCACACCAATTAACAGTGTCAAGCAGTAAGGTATGCAGTAGTAATAATGAGGTGATGGCCCATGCGGCAGGTTTGCTGTTGCAGCTGTTGCCTCATCTCTTCGATCCCACGATTTTTTTTTCCTCTCGATCGAAACATTGTTTAGTCCTTAATTTTTTTTTCAAAAACATCACGTCAAATCATTGGACACATACATATGTAGAGTATTAAATATAGATAAAAAAATTATTTACACAGTTTACATGAAATCGTGAGACGAATCTTTTGAGCCTAATTAGACTATGATTAACTATAATTGCTGCAGTAACCTATATGTACTAATGACGGATTAATTATGTTTAATAAATTTGTCTCACGGTTTCCAGGTGAGTTATAAAATTAGTTTTTTTATTTATGTCAGAAAACCTCTTCCGATATCCAGTCAAACGTTCAATATCACACCTAAAAATTTTCTTTTCGTGAACTAAAAATTAATCCACGCCCAAGACTGTGATATGTAATCTACCTATAGCTGCACATAGTACATGCATATGCATATGCTGTTCTGATCGATATATATCCATGCATGGTTGGTTATTGCTTGTTGCCTGCAGTCGAATTCATTCCTTGCTTAAATAATTTCACTGCAGCATGTGCGTACTATCCTGCTGCAACCTGCACCGTGCATAATAATGCACATTACTAGTATACTGTATTTTTCATGTGTATGGTCCAATATATCCAGCTATCCATCCATTACACAGCAACACTTTACTCAAATACTCAATGCAGAGCTAGCTGTACTCTGCATATGCAGACATATAAGGCCCCACTTGCGGTGTGCATTCACCTTGTAATGCACATGCCCGAAGCTGCTCATTATCTTAAAAAAAATACGGCTCTATCGTTTTACTTATTCGGGAAAAAGCCAAACAGCATATTTATAAAAAAAATAATTTATGAATAATATTTTTTTTATATGTTCTTATTGGTCTAAAAGTAAAGGCTGAAAAATAAACTTTAATAAAAAATACAAAATAAACTTAAAAATTAAAAATTTAAATTTTAACTAATAAATATAACTATAAGCGAAAAGACGAGTCCGATATCTGTCGCCGGAAATTAGTACTCCACTACTGCCAGTAACATTTACTGACAAGGCCCGGTACATTATAGTAAAAAGAAATGAAAAATATCGTGTGTTTGTTGCCATGAGTACAGGCATGAGGCCTGCATGCATGTTGACACTGACAACATGTTTAACAGGAGGAGGCATGCACAGATGCACTGTGTATTAGCTCTACGATACTATACTTACGTCCTAGAAAGAATAGTTAATTAGTACTACCATAACTGCACACTTGTACTACTGGTTACAGCTAGTAGCTGCGAAACTACATGCCGCAGATTAACTTATAGACGCACTAGGAAATTAATTAAAATGATGCGATTAATAAATTAATTAATGTGAAAAAGGAAAACATATGCGTGCTGTGCAGGTGACGGAGACGGAGCTGTTCAGCGTGGTGAAGGAGAAGCACGGCAAGGGATTCTCGCGATTCATCGAGGAGAAGGTGGTCGCCCTCGCCGGCGACATCATCTACGACGACCTGGGCCTCGATCCCCCGTTGCTTCAACACCTCGCCGACAACCTCGACGTCATCGTCAATGGCGCTGCCACCACCAACTTCTACGGCAGGTCGGTCGGTACTATCGATTCAAATATAGTACAAATCCATTCAATTCAGTTATATATTAATTGATGAAATGGAATGGAATGGAATTGCCTTGCAAATGATGAAATGATCATGCAGGTATGATGTGTCGCTGGATGTGAATGTGCTGGGAGTGAAGCATCTGTGCCAATTGGCCAAGAAATGCAGGGGCCTCAAGGTCTTCCTCCATGTCTCCACTGGTCAGTCAAGTCACTCGATCACTGCACCACTGATCGATCAGCTGATTAATTAAGCTCGATCGATATATATATAGATGCAGTTAGTAATTAAATTGAAGTTAATTGCATGCAGCTTACGCGGGCGGCGAGCAGGAGGGGCTAATCCAGGAGAGGGCGTTCGAGGAGGGGTGGGCGCTGCGAGAGGGGATGCACCTGGACGTGGACGCGGAGCTTCGGCTGGTGGCCGACGTGCGTCGGGAGGTTGAAGACGACGACGACAAGGCGCGGAGGAAGGCGATGAAGGAGCTGGGGCTCGCCAGGGCGCGCCACTTCGGGTGGTCCAACACCTACGTCTTCACCAAGGCCATGGGCGAGATGGTGCTGTCCAGGATGCTGCTGCAAAGCTCGTCGCCGGCGCCGGCGATCACCGGCGCCGGCGGCGTGGTGGTGGTGCGGCCGAGCATCATCACGAGCATCCAGCGGGACCCGGTGCCGGGGTGGATGCAGGGGACGCGGACGATCGACACGCTCATCATCGGGTACGCGAAGCAGAACCTGTCGTGCTTCCTGGGCGACCTGGACCTGGTGATGGACGTCATCCCGGGGGACATGGTGGTGAACGCGATGATGGCGGCGGCGGTGGCGCACTCCGGCGAGGCCGGGCAGGAGCGGCCGGCGGTGTACCACGTGAGCTCGTCGCTGCGGAACCCGGCGGCGTACTCGGTGCTGTACGAGGCCGGGCGGCGGCACTTCACGGAGAAGCCGAGGGTTGGGAAGCGCGGCGAGGTCATCCCCACCAAGGAGATGCACTTCTTCAAGACCATCGCCAGCTTCCAGGTTAATTAATTTACTCTTCTTTTTTTTTTATTTTTTAATAATGAAAGTTTGTTACTGAATTCAGTCTATTACGACAAGATGATATATAATTAAAATGCACATTACCAAACACACAGATCGATCCAAAAGAATTACAAGGTTATTTTTTAATGGTATTTCTCTTCTATAGATTATAAGTCGCTTTGGCCTTTTTCTTAGTTAATTTTTGTTAGTTTGATTAAGTTTATCGGAAAATAGCAATATCTACGATACCAAATTAGTTCGATTAAATGTAAACATTGATTATATTATCATAATATATTTGTTTTGTGTGAGGAATACTACTACATGTTTCTCTGTAAATTTAGTTAAAGTTAAAAAAAATTTGAATAAAAAAAATCAAAGGATATGAAACTGACGGAGTAGAAGCTTTTCATTGAAGTGTGTTGTCAAGATGATACAATTACGATAAACATTTTAATGTCTGTATAATTACGATGCACACGATCAAACAGATCCAAAAGATAGAAAAGAATTACAAGTTGGTATTGATTTTTGCAGGTGTACATGCTGGTGAAGTACAGGCTGCCATTGGAGATCCTCCACCTGGTGAACCTCCTCCTTTGTGGCCTCTTCTCCCGCCTCTACTCTAACCTCGCCCGCCAGTACCGCTACGTCATGCACCTCGTCGACGTCTACGGCCCCTTCGCCTTCTTCAAAGGATGGTACGTACTACCTACGTATTTCTCTACTTTTATACACGTATATACAAATACCTGTACATTACTACTAACAAGTAATCATTACTGCATGCTTGGATTATATATGAAGCTTCGACGACATAAACTTGGAGAGGCTGAGGCAGAGGATGGGGAAGAGCAGGAACCCTCAAGACGATGAAATGTTCAACTTCGACCCAAAGACCATCGATTGGGAGGACTACTTCTACAGGATCCATATACCCGGTGTGCTCAAGTACATCCTCAAGTAAAACACACATGGATGATGATGGATTATATCATCATGTATAACAGCTGGATGAAGAAGACTTAAGTATTGTACTCTGGCTCTGCTCCTCCCTGTTACAAATGCCAGCAATCTACCTAAGTATGCTGATACTAGCTTGTATGGGAATATGCATGCTTGCTCAAAGAATTAATCTTTAATATATGTCAACTACTAGACTAAGTAATGCTTGTATCGGAGAAGAATCACCATATCTTAATCAATAATAATACACTGTGTGCTTGTGCTTGTGTCATGTACTACCAGCTTTACTTGTCCTTGCTTGTGCTCTGGGTTTCATCTGCAATCTGACGATGAAAATTATTTTTACCAGTATGCTATCTCTCTCACCATGTAGTGAAATCAAGTCAAAAAGTTACTCTACTCAAGCGTGGTGCTGCTATACTTTTTAGCTTCAAGCAATTACTGAGCAAACGCAACCAACAACCGAGAGAGTTGTGACACAATTAGCACACAGTAACACGGCGAGTGGCAAACTGATTTCCGAATTTGAAATGTATATCTGTGGCACAAATGTCTGAAACAGTTTGTAATAATGCTGTCTTTCGTATGCAGAATTTCAATTTACTACATATATTTTGCTTGTAGCTAGGAAGCAAACTTCTAATCCTCCTATTACATATAATAAGATAACAGATTGTTTTGGTCCTCAGGTCTGATGCCTACTAGCCCAGAACAAACCAGTCCTTATTCTGTTCTTAGGTGGAACCAGGTTGTTTTGAGCCACCAGACTTGAACTCAAGAAATCAAAACAACCATATCTTCTTATTCATAGGGGAATAGAAAGCTTCCGGTTTCCAGGATCTAATCACAACTCTGTATTTGTCAAATTTGCTTGTGTATCCAAAAGCACAAGAAATAGGCGTAAAATCGCTCATGGAGCCATGAGGAGTTCCTTCACGAATGCGAGAACATTTGGCACATCAACTGTCCATGCAACTGAGATTGGCTTGTAGCCAGACCATGGATTCTCTGAATTCCACCTGCGTCATAGTTGGAACAAGCAATCAGTAACAATTACAGTAGCCATATATCAGTGATAGATGTGCTTGTCAAAATGTCATGACGCTAGAAAGGTAAATATGTTGTGATTAACTTAGAAATAAGTACAATATCATACTTTTTCAATCCTTGGTCCATTAAAGTGTGACCAGTGCAAATGCCCTGGGTTTCTACTCTCACAACACCCTTCTTGAACGTGAAGTACTCAGGGTGAACTAGGGCAGTGAAGCTCACAGGATCATGGAGGAAAATTCCTGAACACATAGAAATAATCAGCTAAAGTATATTTCAGTTTGAATGGTAACTAGCAGAATAATACCAAAACGAGAGGATTTCGATATACCATGAAAGCCATCGGATTCGGCATGCCAGTCTCTATAGAACTGGCACATGTCACATAAGAACTGTGCATGCTTCCCTTTTGAGTTTCTTAGCTCCAGGAGATCCTCATCTGAAAGAAACAGATTTTACTTGATGAATATAATTGACCCCACAGCTGGACTCGAACCATGCAAATGACACTATCAAGGAACAAACCTGTAAAACAGACTTGAGTTGTTATGTTAATGCCAACCACGTCAACATCTGCTCCTGAGGTAAAAACTATGTCAGCTGCTTCTGGATCTCCATATATCTGCAGAGTTATGCAGCGAAAACTTAATACTTGTGTCAATGTATTTTTTCTGTCCATGTACAAGCACTAGTCTAATATGCAATAATGACATTACATTTGCTTCAGCAGCTGGGCTGACATTTCCAGCCGCAAAGAAAGCACCACCCAGTACAACTATTTTCTTCACCTTACTTGCAAAGGAAGGGTCCCTTTTGATGGCCTAAGAAAGAACACAGACAGACTTATCCTCTGTCACGGCATATAAAGCAACATGCTAAACAGGTTTATCCTGTAAATGGAAGCATACCAGCGCCACGTTTGTCAGGGGTCCCAATGCGAGTATAGAAACTTCTCCAGGAAATTGAGAGACCTTATTAACCATGAACTCAGCAGCATTTTCATCAACCTTCTTACTAGTGGGTGCAGGAAGAAACAAATTCCCCAGGCCATCAGACCCATGAACAAAGTCAGCAACACGTGGCTCTCCTCCCTAAAGTACAAGAGCACATCATTAACAAGCTCATCCAGATAAGCATGGGGCGTTGACTGGAATTGAATAGGAAATGTAGTATGATCGGAAGTCTGCGGTCTTAATTGAATCGGTGGCATATAAAATGTTGATGCTTATGCAAATAAAAGTAAACTGTTCAATCTATATTATAAATAGAAAAATGAATATTATATTAAGCCTTAACTCCCACGGGCAAAAAAAAAAGAAGGTTGTGCCCTGTACATCCAATAAACTAGGAAGACTGTTTCGTCTTATTTTTAAGATGTCACATTAGCTACACATTTATGATTGACGCTAATCAAGTCAGCACTCAAGAGCCATTTAAAATTGATATTTGACAATGTAAGCAAGCATAAACGAAGGAAAAGCCATCAAATTTGAAAGCAGCCATGAAGATCGGTTTGTGCGGGAGAACATGTATCAAGATTCATGTTGCTCGTCGTACACGCTAAGTCTTACATTGTTACATATAACTGTATAAGCATATCGTGAACCAGCGTACCTTGAGAGGCTCTGCGCTGCCCTCTGCTACTGGAACCTCAGGATGTCCTGCTCTCTCACACTGTCATTTTCAATACATGCCGCTGTTAACAAGAGGCCAAGAGCAAGAAACATAACAAAGGATATTCAACCATCTCAAATCTCACCAGCAAGAGCGCATTCTGAGTCGCATTCTTTGTGGTGGTGTTGCCAAATATGGTTGTGAGCCCTATGATCTCCACAGTTGGAGCTCTGAACGCCATAAGGATTGTCATGCTATCATCTGGAACCAGTTTGTAAGGAAAAGAATTAGCAAGAAGTAGTTTCCTAGAAGGTTGAAATTCAGATGTATTTTCTGAAGACATAGAAATCAGAAAGCACATAGTTTGAGGCAATAGATTCACAACAAAATCTTCTTCAAATTATCTGTCTAGTATTTGTGCCGTATCGGTCTCTCTCTCTCTCAAGAAGTGGATGTAGTTTTGCAACAGGAGTGAAACTATCTCTCTTTTAACCTTGAATTGTTTTGCGTCCAATTTAAATAGAACATTTAGAATTTGAACATAAGAAGGTCAATTGGAATTGGCTAGCACAAGCATCAGATGTCATGCATTTCTATTGCACGATCAGGAAAAGGTGAATGTATGTGAAAGGGGAATCTGTAACTTCTCAATTTACACTAAAATGTTGAAAGTGTGACACACACACACTCGTAAAGCTGCTCTTTTTTAACCATCAACTAGGCAAAAATCAGGAAACAAAACGGTTCTTCACTGTAGTTAAAGTATGAAGAGGTGGCCCCCACGAACGACACCTAGGTGAGACTTGAGAGGAATCATGGCGTAGTGTTGACACTTGTCGGCCGCATTAGCACACAGTCCTGGCACTAACTAGGTGCTTTACCATTAGACTGAAGATGCTAATAAGATATAATTACGACAATAGTCATGAACTATCAGCAGCAGCTCTTCAATTTACCAGTTTCTAGCGCATCGCTAAGCACAAAACCACAAACCAGTCGCTTAAGCCAAAAAAAAAAAAGAAAAGAAAAAAAGATTGCAACTTTTCCCTAAAGGATTGCAACTTTTTGGTGCTTGTGCATGCAGGATCCATCCATCGTTTTCATGGACAAGGCCGGATAGTGGGGATCCGTCCAAACGGCGGATTGAGAAGGAGGAACCCCACCACACCACATGAGTGGTGTGAGAGAGAGTTTCAGTTGGTTGTCCTTCCTCTCTTCTCCTTTCTTGGAGGAGTAGGTGAGGTGAGGAGGAGGGGATCAGGAGGGGAAGATACCAAAAAGAGATTGAAATTTTTTCGCTCTCCTCATCTTATCCATCTATCTATCTATCTATGGCCTCTCGTTTCTATCCCCATGACTCCATTGTTGTCGTTGGGAGAGGAGATGTTTCCACACAAGAATTGAAATCAAATCAGGAAGAAACTAGTATGAGCGCAATGAGATGAGGAAGAGGAAGAGGAAGGGACTCACCGATGCCGGGATCCGTGTCGATGATGAGCTTGTCCCGGTGGATCTGCTCGTTCGACCCCATCACAAATCCACCCAAAACTAACTCTCTCTCTCTCTCTCTCTCTCTCTCTCTCTCTCTCTCTCTCTCTCCTCAAGTAGAGGAAGATCGAGGAGGAAGAAGTAGCAGTAGGACGCAACCTCTACTACTCTCCCTTCCAAGTAAGTTCCAACTCAGACTTGGGCTTTCTTTCTGGCAGCAACAAACGACACCGATCTCCTCGCCTCGCCTCGCCTCCATATATAGACCGCGACGATGGCGATGACGATGGCGACGAGGAGGAGGAGAGGCAAGATGACGTCGGTCGAACACGATGCACGTGGATTGATTAGCGATGACAAACATGGTTTGGTTTGGTTTGATTTGGTTAATTTAGGGAGGGGGAAAGGGTGTCATCGTCTGAGCTTGGTGGCGGGACAGCCGTCCGATATCGTGCCGGAGGAAGGAGAGCCGTCGGATGAAGGGATAGTGGCACGACACGTGGATGAGGCGGATGCGGAGTCGGCGCCCACGTGTTTGGATCTCTGCCGCTTGTTGTTTTTGTTTTGCCCTTCGGATGGGGCTGTTTTTTTAAAAAAAATATATATACATTACAACGCAGAGACTCACAACACACGCACACTCACCCCTATAAACACACGTACGTAAACTCTACCCCTATGAGCATCTTCGCAAGTTCAGATCAAGTAGTGACTATTCAAAATTGACCGATACCTATAATTCAGAAGGAAAACATGGTGCATGCAGTGCAGTATTTGTTGAGAATTGAAGATTCGGTGGGTGTTCATCCATCGCATTTGCATGCATGCATGGCCTCTCTCTTTCATTTCTATTTTAGCGCCCGACAGGCAGCAGTAGTATTGCTATTACCTGATGCTCGACGCGGCAACGACGACACAGGATCGTACGTGCATATACTCCCTCCGTTTCAAAATATTTGGCACTGTTGACTTTTTAGCACATATTTAACCGTTCGTCTTATTAAAAAATTATGAAATATGTAAAACTATTTGTGTACATGAAAGTATATTTAACAATGAATCAAATGATATGTAAAGAATAAATAATTACTTAAATTTTTTAAATAAGATGAATGGTTAAACATGTACTTAAAAAGTCAATGATGTCAAACATTTTAAAACGGAGGGAGTATATAATTACGGCTTCTATATACACGTTGAGAATAATAGTATATATCCTACTAGCGATCGATCGATCAAATTAAATTGCTCTGTGTCTTCTGCTATGGACGACAAGGAACTAATATATGCTACGTGTCGTGCAGATACTTGCCAACTTCATATGAAGATTTATAAATAGAATTCAATAAATATTTATCTATTTTGTGTTGGTATTATTAGTTCTTGTCTAGTGCTTCGATGTTTTTTTATACTCTCCATTCGCTGAATTACGTATAATAAGTGGCCGTAGCGATGGCTTGTCTAGTGTTTGGTGGGGAAATAGCTACATGTCTTTTGATTTCAAATCTTGTAAGAGATGATTTAATTCCTGAGTAATCTATTTCCTTTTCCCCGAAAAAAAAAGAATTATGTAATAAGTGGTTGCAACTTGTTTGTAGCCAAAGACCGAAAATCTTTCCAATATCTAAAGAAAATGGACGAATTATGGAGATGCATGCATGTGGCGCAATTAAAATTCTGCTATTGAGTTCAGTTTGAGATAACGAAATAATATTATAATGCATGCTGAAAATGCATGATCTGCTTTGTTCTACGTACGTCTCGGTTTCAGTTTTGCTCGTGCGTGCTGGATAGATAGATGTACTAGTGTATACTCGCTCCGTTAAAAAAAAATAATCTAATACTAAAATATAATACATCGTAATACAAATCTAGACGTAGAATATAAAATTAGAATGTGTCCCATCCTAATACAATGTTATTTTTTTAAGGTACGGAGAGAATACTTGTCAACCTAGCTACCTACCGAATTACCGATGAGCTTCTCCGTCACCGTTCTCATCCTCATCCTCATCCTGCAACAACCGTATTATATATAGGACCATCCATGCATGCATTCATGCAGTTTAATTAATTTTCTTCCTAATTTTTTACACTATATTGTCTTGTCATTAGTAGTTTGAGATCAGGAATTAAGTGATCAGAATGATCATCGATCATGTGATCGCTTCAATCGATGGGCATCGCCACCACATAGACATAGGATTATAGGAATATTACGATGATATATAATTGGACGGAAGCAGCGATCATGCTTAACACATGCCTCTGTCTGTGTTTCCAAGGGAACTAGTACATGTACTATATTGCAAATCATCAATGATGGATCCAAGGTGTCTGTCAGGCATATTACTATTCTAAATATTCTTCTAATAATGCATGTGATATGTACATATAGCGATTAGTAAGTGGATTGGATCTAACTAAGCTTGCTACTCATAATTAATCCAGACAGCAACTCATATGACAGTGATCTTCCATTCCACTTTCTATCTAAGACAAAGTCCAAACTACAAAGCGATGTAAACTAAAGCTACCCACGTCTATCCTGCACCTTCAACTCAAAAAAACAAATTAAACTTGCATTTCTCATTTTTTGCAGTTACATTTCTGATTTCTTCAAAAAAAAATGCTGAAGAGAGCAGACGAAACAGTAGTCCTGGTTAGAATTCAGAGGTACGGCAGCCAAAGGCCGAATTAACTCAAGTTGAAGCCCATACTAAACATGGGCCACAGTTAAGCATGTGCCTAGATAGTTTTCCGGCCCAAAAGGCCCAGTAGCGAGATCCAACGGCTCAGGACATCGCCACGTGGCGTCTAATCCGAAAGCTCTAGGCGATAAAAGCAGAGACGCCATTTCTGCCTCGTCCCCTCTTCGCCTCTCCTCCGCCGGCGCCGCCCCTGCCCAAACCCTAGGTGAGGTCTCTCTCTCCGTCTCCGGCCGCCTCCCTCCTCGATCCGCAACCTCACCTCTTCCGATTGTTTGATTGTATTGTCTTTACGCGCTGTACCTCGCTTCTTCTCACTAGTTTTTTTTTTCTGATTTTATTCTACTGCAGAGTGTTGTTGAGTTATCGGCCGCAAACATGAGGTACTCTACTCCTCCCAACTTGCTTACTGATTAGTTGTTTTCGTTGATTTAGTCTGGTAGTAGCATTGCTTTGGGGGATACTGGTGTCATAGATCGTTTCTTGTTAGACAGTTGAATGCTTTTATTTTTCAAAAAAAATAAATCTAAGATAGACCTTAGAGGGATCCAGTAGTTTTATAATTTGGAGGAAAAGGTCTTTAGTTTATGCCGAATTTCATACATAGACCTTCAGAGTGGCATCAAGAGCCAAAGAGGGATCCAGTAGTTGTATATAGTTATCAACAAAGGTGACTACTTGATATATCTTTTTTGTAGCATTGCTTATGTAACTAAGCACTGGGTTGCATCATAAAGAATGTTTTATTTGCCTAGTAAACAGTAGAGATGGCTGATTTCTAGATTATACCAGAGTATGGTGCACTGATTGATGAGTATCAGAAATGTTCTTTCTTTTCCATAACAAATTCTGAATGTGAGCTTGTGCGATCAATTGCAGTAAGTTACAAACCGAGGCTCTCAAGGAAGCCATCTCCCAGGTTGTTGCTGATTGCAAGGAAAAGAACAGGAAGTTCACCGAGACCGTTGAGCTTCAAATTGGTCTCAAGAACTATGACCCACAAAAGGACAAGCGTTTCAGCGGCTCCGTTAAGCTGCCCCATATCCCCCGCCCCAAGATGAAGGTCTGCATGCTTGGTGATGCCCAGCATGTCGAGGAGGTAAGATATGATGTTGTAGCCATTTTGTTTAATTCAGACTTTACAGGTTACATTATTGTAGTATTTTCTCAATTTGAACACATGTAGTGTTACTGAATTACCATTTCTTAAAATGTGGTTGTTTGTTTCCCTGGTGCTTATTTCTTTACATGTCAACATATGTTATACTCAATTTCGTTAGCATCTAATGTGTTTGGTTGTATGCAATTTGGATTTTTCTCTCTGTAATATCTGTCTTTATTCTGTCTAATGGTACTGTTTCTCCCTAATTTTCTTCCTACTAACATGCTGCACCATGGCATTTAAACAGGCTGAGAAGATTGGGCTCGACTACATGGATGTTGAGGCCCTTAAGAAGATGAACAAGAACAAGAAGCTTGTGAAGAAGCTTGCCAAGAAGTACCATGCTTTCTTAGCATCAGAGGCCATCATCAAGCAGATCCCCCGTCTCCTTGGTCCTGGTCTAAACAAGGCAGGCAAGTCTTCCATTTTCTGACATGCTTGCTCTTCTTTTCATGATCTTTGTTTTGAATACCTGTTTTTTCATGTACTTGTATGCACATTTCAATTTTTTGGGCTCCCGGCAATGGAATTGATCAAATTATTGTGCATGTGTTGCAAGGACCACTATCTTTATATGTTAAGTAAATTTTTCGGCTGCTGTTTGGCTTTCTGAACACACCATAGTACATACATTAAGCTGGTATCTTGTTTAAAGTACTGTTAGTGTTGTGTGCTCTTGATTATGCACACTTTTGCCATGTATGGTCTACTAGCACCGCTCTGCTAACTGGGTCATGTCGTTGGCTCTGCAGGCAAGTTCCCTACATTGGTTACTCACCAGGAGTCTCTTGAATCCAAGGTCAATGAGACGAAAGCTACAGTCAAGTTCCAGCTGAAGAAGGTTCTGTGCATGGGTGTTGCTGTGGGTAACTTGTCGATGGAGGAGAAGCAGATCCAGCAAAACATCCAAATGAGCGTCAACTTCCTCGTGTCCCTTTTGAAGAAGAACTGGCAGAATGTGAGTTCTGTTCTCAACTTCATGGCATCAGTAGTTTACATTTCTGATGTTTACATGTAATGAAATTTATATAGTGTAAGCCCAACAAGCAAACACAATCAGTCTAACTTGTTATGGTTTGTGCTTTGCAGGTGAGGTGCCTGTACATCAAAAGCACAATGGGGAAACCGTACAGGGTGTTCTAAGCTGGTTTGCTCCACATTGAAGCTGATAAGATGCTGGGCGGTTGAACTGAGCTTGTCCTTACATTAGATCTGCTTGCACTGATATCAGTTTTGTGCTTACCCAAGAGAACATCGAGATATGTTATCATATTTTGTAGTAGTTTATTCAGTGCACTTCGGATTTATGCAAATGAGGCTTGTGTTATTTATGAATAGTTTCGTTCATGGGGAGAATTGGTGTGCCAACTACCGTTCGTTCTGGTTTGACCTTGAATCGATAGCAAATGTTGCCGCTGCTCGCAAGAATCGTGCAGCATCGAAATCATGATGCGGCGCCGTTTGACCCCATTTTTGAAGATACAGAAACAGTATAATTCAAGTAGACTTTTAAGAACTTGACTGAACATAGATGCTGAGTTTACTCTCCCATATTATCTGTTAGCATCAAAAGGCAATTACATTTGAGGATAACTAAGATCAAAGCATGTCAGAACCGAGACGCAATCACAGGTAACAGTCGATATAGGCTATAGGGAAAACAAAATGGTACTAAGTACACAGTACGGCACAGAGTCAATAAAATCACCAAGGCCTATTTGCACAAACAAATCCAACTAGGAAGCAGAAACATAGCTGAAAAGCTGTACAAATTCAAAGCTCTTTGGGTCTTGAGACACCCGAAGAAGTCAAGGGACAATGAAGGGAATGACCATTGACAAGAACCCGTCATATGAAAGAGTTGCCGAGCCGCTGTAGCGTGTATCCTTCTCTTTGAATTTTTCAGTTAAACCCTACGCGGAACCAAAAAATAAATAAATAAAAAAATCAGTCATTAGGTTCTTTGCTGCTTCTTTGCATGATCCAATCATAATTGGAGGGCTGCAAATGGAAGAGAAGTGGCATACCTTAACAATCATTCCACACCTGCAGAATTAAAATTACAGAGGCATACGAAACAATAGTCAGATTCCTTCATTCAGAAAATAAACTGACTGATGAGTTCGTTTTGTGTGAGAAATATACTTACTCCACAAAGTTGTCAAAGTCCAACGCGCCACGGCTGGAGACTCCATTGTTGTAGTTCGCGATAAGAAGCTCAAGGACAGAAGGTGGAACCGCATATCCAAGACTGCGTAGAGCTTCTCTCAACTCATCTTTCTCAATTTTTCCACTCCCGTCCCTATCGTATCTGTCGAAAATGCCCTGGATGTTGCCACCAAGAACAGAAATTAGCCCAATAGGTAACACTAAATGAAAGAACAGAAGAATAGGCAACATGACACCTATTGATTAATTGAGCACCATATAATCTTGCAAAGTCTTGCTTAGATAAGTTAACAGACAATAATTATAATATCAAAGACATAATTGCAACCAGCTCTTCCAGACAGAAACAGGTTGCTGGGTCTCCACTCCAGTAGCATTGTTATTTCCTCTCTCTGTTTTTCTTTTGTTAAAAAAAATACAAACATAAAAACCTCCACTTGCATTATTAAGCAGATTTCTTAACAGCGAGAGACAGGTTGGATGGGCTGTACTGCTGTCTACAATTTAGTGTCCAGTTGAAGCAATGATGAAAACACAATGAAAGGCACCAAAAACTAAATGCTTTACAATAATAAGAATGTAATTTGTCTGTTGTGTTCGTAGATAAAACTATAGAAATACTGTTGGCACTCACCCGCCATTGCCCAAGGCAATTCCACAGTGACACGAACTCTGCTGGACCTGCAAATTCAGGTGGCAATGAGAAATCAGTCAGTTTTGTAGTAACTTATTTTGACAACTAAAATGGCAGAGCTGCATTGACGAAACTAATGCACGAATGCTTGTAAGCAATCCTGATATAGAATTTCAATAGTTGAAGCGGTAACACTCATAAAAGGTGAATATCCAATCTAAGAGCAAGGGGCCATGGGCACAGAAGAGAATGATCTACGGTAGAAGCTTTTACAGAAAGAAACAGACATTCCCAATTTCCCATGTAGTAGAAGGAGAGGAAAGCTTCAAAAGGAATTGTACTTGCATGATTCTATCTTTCAGTTGTACTAGCAATAAAAGTATAGTTATAAAGGTTGTGTAAACTGTAAACTGGTAATAATAGCAGTAATAAGTGCTCTATCGTTTCAGATTCGATGCAGCGAGCAGTATGATACGAGTAAGTTGCAACAAATTGCTCCCAGGAACATCCAATCTATCACTGAAGGAATTGGAAATTCCAGCCAAACATAGACCTTATGTTGGAATTCAATGCTCACATGAGAACAGCAAACAAAGAAAATGAAAATTTCATTTTCTGGGCGTGATTGAAGCGATGAAGAGAGGATATATGATTTGGCGCACAGGGAAGAAGAGTAGCAGGTTTACCCATGCGAGAGGGGGAATGGGAGGCAGGTTTGTTGAAGAGGAAGAGGAGGAGGCGGACGGTGCGGATGCTGAAGCGGTGGTAGGCGGAGGAGAGCGCGTCCTGCAGCTCCCGCTCGTCGATGGAGCCGCTGCCGTCGCGGTCCACGGCCCTGAAGGCGCGCTCCACGTCCGGGTGCGTCCCCGGCGGGAACACCAGGAAGCCCCCCATCCCCATGGGATACGCCTGCGACGACGACGGCGGCGGCGGTGGGTAGGTGGAGGACGGGTAACCGCCGCCGCCATGTCCGTAGCCGTAGGACGAGGAGGAGGAGGCCGGTGGGGCGGAGGGCGTGGTGGTGTAGCCGTAGGAGGAGGCGGGTGGCGCTGACGGGGTGGAGCCGTAGCCGCCGTAGCCGTAGCGGTTGTAGTCCGCCATGGCTTCTTGCTTGCTCTCGTCGAAGGAGGAAGAAGAAGAAACGAAGAGATAACTGACGAGGCAAAGGCGTGGCCTTTTCTTTATACCTGTGCAGTGAGAACTGCAAAGGTGCGGCCTTTGGCAAGAAATTTTTGGATGATCTCGATCGGGGAAGGAGGAGGAGAGGAGTGAAGGAGCTATTAACTGGAAGCTTCCAAAGCTGCAGGTGTACGGCAACAGGGAGGAAATTGATGGTTATACTATTAGTATTAGGAGTCGTAAGCAATTGTTCCCTCGTTTCTAAATATTTGACACCGTTGATTTTTTACACATATTTAACTGTTCGTCTTATTTAAAAACTTTTATGAAATATGTAAAACTATATGTATACATATAAGTATATTTAACAATAAATCAAATGATAGAAAAAAATTAATAATTACTTAAATTTTTTGAATAAGACGAACGGTCAAACATATTTAAAAAAATCAATGGTGTTAAATATTTAGAAAACGGAGGGAGTAATCAAGAAGAGATTGTTGTAACTCGTAGTTGCTTCATTGCTAAGCGAGCGGTTTCACCAGCAGCACAAACAGAAAGGGAGAAGAGAACAACAACAACAACTAACTCAGGACAAGACAAATTAGCATTAGTAGAGTGGTGAAGCAGCTAGAGAGATAAGGAAGGAACAAGTCGTGAGCGAGCAGCCTAAGTAAGCTCCTCCTTTCAAATCTGCTTTGCGTTGCGTTTCGTTTCTTGGCAATTGCAAATTGTGAAGGCGCGTATGTATCAAATACTCCTAATATGTACGTGTGCTGGTTTGATGATGGAAGTTTACATGGACACAACCAAGAACAAGTCTGTCTTGTCTTGTGTTGTTGCTCATCCAAATTCAATTCCGCGGCGGCTCACTGCGCATCGCCCGGCCGACCATGGATATTTCTACGTGTCGCGTCGCATCGCGTTAGTTTCACGCGGCTCGGAATTCGGAATATGAATGCTGGTCAACGCTGCGAATCTAACCACCAGTTATACAAAAACAGATCTAAGCAATTTCTTTACTAATGCGGAGTATGCCTAATACAAGTATACAACACCGCAATCAAGGATTGGAGAACGATGAAAAGATTCCGAAGAATCACTGGTAAGAATCAAGGATTGGAGTTTTGTTAGGCTGTGCTTTTAAGTTTTAACTAAGGTTCACAACCTGTGCTACTGTGTTTTTCACGTGCACACTTCTCAAACTACTAAATGTTATGTTTTTTTTGAAAAAGTTTCTATAGAAAAATTAATGTAAAAAAATCATATAATCCATTTTTAATTAATCATGCGTTAATTTGTCACTCTATTTTACATGCAGAGGGGAAGTATTCCCAACACCTAAAAAAACACGGCCTTAAATATATTATTTTTAAACCATACATCCTTATGACCTACTTCGGCTGTGCAAGCGCACGAGTCCTAAAGAATAAAGTGAAGGAATACATAGAAATAAAAAAAAAAGAAGAAGGGAGTCACCACAACCTTCCCAAAGGACAAAGAGACATAGTAAAAGCAAAGTGAGCATAACTCAACTGGTTAGGTTTCTTGCTACAGAACCTGTTCATCTAGGTTAAGTCCTAAACTTGACATGAGTGCTCGCATTTTAGTGTTATGCGATGTACCCATCAACAATAATGTGTCCGTATCGACTTCGTCAATCTCAAGATATGTCGGGTCCAGCCTTTTAAAGGTGCTCACAAGGATATGATGTGCGTGTATTGAATATTACCGGAGGGCTTTCTGCTACTCGGAAGCTAGCTCGATATCCCGGTGATCGAAGGTTGTGATTGCCTAACGCCACCAACACCAAGCCATCAAGAATCCCACTTTATCATGTTATTGCTTAGATCAATGCCCACCGATGCACTTGTGGGTCCACACTCCATTAAATGTTACTTCTCTAGGCCTCCCACATCCAATTATCTTCGATCAAACTTCATCAAATTGTCATCTAGTTCAATACACTCCAACGTCTTTTCGGGGAAGGAAGCCCCAAAGGAGGAAGGGCTATTGAAGTAGGATGTAGACGAACAGGAAACTAGACAAAAAAAGGAGGAAGAGCTGTTGAAGGAAGATGTAGACAAACAAGAAGCGTGATAAACTCCAACGCCCTTTTGGGAAAAGGAGCCCCACAAGAGGAAGAGTTGTTGAAGGAGGATGTAAACTAGCAGGGAGCTAGACAAAAAGGAGGGAGGGCTATTGAAGAAAGATGTAGAAGAACACGGATCTGGACAAAAGGATATAAATGGAGATCACACTGATAGAAGAAAGGCACAACTCGCTAGTCACCACAACCACCGGAAGAGCCTAGAGCCCTAGACCTCAACCAACATGGAGACCCAAGCTATTAAACATGGAGCATGCTAAATTGAGCAGATCCAAAGGAGGGGACAAGGCTAAAGTGATTGGACACACTCCTAGACAATGGGGCAGAGCTAAATTGGTTGAAGCAACGGTAAAAACAATGGCTCTAGGGACTCCAACCATGGAGGCATGCCAGTATTGGCACAAAGTTTACACAAAAAAGGATGAAAGGGAAGAGTGAAGCGGACTTTCTAGGGGCCAATGGCACGAGAAATGCATTGACCATAGTTCCACGACCGTAATAGAAAAAACGAAGAGGAAAGGAGTTGGCAAATGAAGAAGGTATGTGGAGATGTCATCGGGGAGGCAAACGGATCTAGGGTTAAAAGAGGATAAGAGAGGAGGCACATAGGAAAGGTAGCCGCTGGCAACGGCAGCCATAGGTGGACATTGTTGGTTGGGGGTGGAAAACATCCTGAAGAAGAAGAAGCCACGTCCACCAACCTTTCACATGAGGGAGTCAAACCGACCGAAACGGGTGCCAGGCCAACTAGATGCACCACTAGCCATGTGGTTGTCATTGTTCACCAAGCCCTCATACACACCACTGCCCATCGTGTCTTGGAGATGCAGCCTACACAATTTGGCGCACATCTAGCCCCATAGTTCATCGGGTCTCTCCAGTGTCTGTCGTAGCCATCCCCAATGCCATCACATTCATCATCACAACCCGATAATTAATGTCAACTTGTTCACTATATGTAAACCTCTAGATTTGGTAGGAGGGGAGGGGGCGTTATGAGTGTTAGGGAAAAGAATAAGGGTGACGAGATTGTAAACGAGAAGGGGCCCGATGGTTAGCCACTAAAGAGGGGCACGGAAGTTTCATCCTCAGACCTTCAAGTGAGTACTCTACCGAGGATAGTATGGTTTCAGAGTGGCAGCACTCAAAGCTGACCATTAGGGATCCAACTCTTGTGACTTTAGGTGCTAAAGACATAGGAGAACAATAAAGCATGTCTTGTGCTACAGTACGAAACAGTAATCTGCAGTGGTTTACCGTAGCAACAGTGATAAGCAGGAAAATATGATGTACAAAGGTACTGTTTGCGTGTTACTATATTGTACTGTAGCGATCGATCTCATCCATTCGCTGCAAATCGGACGGCTGAGAATACCCTAAAGAGGATCTCAATCCGACCATCAGAGGCTGAAGACCCTCTGCCACATTTATTTTAATAAGGAAATCAGAAATACTAGTCTCTCAACACATAATAATTGTTGACAACACCAAAGAACTTCACACAGGGTGCACATACATGCGCTACTAACAAAAAACAAAACACTCTGAAGCCTGAACCAAACAAGTGACATTATATTGGCCACTCCATTATGATTGTACTAAACAATGTGACAGAAATATAGAATGTCCATTTCTTTTTCATCTGTCGTCTGCTTACGTTAAGCCCAAGTGCCAATCACTGTCAAGCCTCATACAGAGAGAGAAAGAGACCTTGTACAGTGCCTGTCTGTCTGTACTTATCTCCCGGACCGGTGATCCAAAATAATCCCACGTGTGGTATCGTATCGTATCAGCATTCAGCAGCACAAAATATTTCCGGCTGCAGTGAAGTGAGCCACCGATTTTCTTTTCTTTTCTTTTCTTTTGTTGCGTCGTCTTCGATTCCTCCTGTGCTGTGCGCACCATGGCGGCCACCGCGCTCCACCTCCCGCCACTCCTCCTCGCGCGCCGCCTCCGCTTCTCCTCCGCCGCCGCTTCCACGTCTACCTCGCGCAGGACCACGCGCCTCTCCGCGCAGCTCGACGACACCGCCGCTGCTTCCACCTCCACCTCCACCTCTGATAAGCCCGCCGCCGCCTCCTCCTTCGCGCCGCCTCCCGACTTCAAGCCTCCGGAGCCCAAGACCTTCGAGGTGAAGCCCGGCCAGTCCGACGACATCGTCACCGCCTCCCTCGCCATTCCCTTCCGCCTCGGCACCGGCGTCTTCGCCCTTGGGTACTTTATTTTCTATTTCTACTGAATTTATTCGATCCAATACCTACTGAATTTTGTTTCTAAATCTTATTGTTACTCGATTCATATATTCATGGCCTTGGATTCATTTGATGTGCAGATATTCGGTATCGCTGGTTTCTCCTGACGAGGTGGCACCAGATGAATATGCTTTGGATTTCCAAGGTACAATCTTTTTATTTTATTTTCCCAAAGCAAATACCAACGATGAACGCACACACAAGGTCGTCATTTTGCACCATACAACGACCTAGTTTATTCTCAATTGCTTCGTAAAACAGACACTATATTGTTACTGTATTACCAGCCCAACTGCTGAGATCAGACTTCAAACCAGTACATAGTAACACATGTATATGTGTCATTTCTTATTCTAGGTCGGAAGGTTAAGGAGTCATCAAAGATAGGGCAGTGTCCTCGACCAGAAAAGCCTATCGAGATTTACGAGTTTGAAGGGTATATATGCTTCATCTTTTCTCTCTTTCCATAAAAGACATGTATTGTTCAGACCCAATAATCTTCTTCTGGGTATTCTCTCATGCTATAGCTAACTTAATTTGTACCGTCCATTCAATTGTTGCTGTATTAATTCTGCCTCAACTTCAGCTGCCCATTCTGCCGAAAGGTTAGTATTTTTAGCCTTCGACATCTGCATCTTGCACTTTACCTTCTGTCATGTATGAACAATTTTTTTAAAATTTGCAGGTCAGAGAGATGGTGGCCGTCTTGGACCTTGATGTTTTGTTTTACCCCTGCCCTAAAAATGGCCCCACTTTCCGTCCAAAGGTTTTAGAGATGGGCGGAAAGCAACAATTTCCTTACATGGTATGCAAGTAATCCTCCATAATTTCTTCAGTTTCTTAGGTCATATACTCAATTACTTCTGTTCTACTTTTACACAGCTATGAATTACTAAAAAAATGTTATGGAAATATATTTGACAAACAAGCATGCTCAGAATCTCACCATTACCATGTATTCATGTTTGCAGAGTCTTGAATACCTTGCAAAATGGTATTTTTATTTGTCGTATGGATTTACTTTGCTACAGCGATGTGTCTGTTTTCCACTTTTCCCTTCACTTAGGATATTTGGGTGTTCTTTCTGTCTGGAAGAAGTAGTGTGAAATCAGTTTGTTTTTATCATCATCTAAGGTACTCTTATGCTGCAGGTGGATCCAAACACAGGGGTTGCCATGTATGAATCTGATGCCATCATAAAATACCTGGCCGACAAATATGGTGCCTATTTCATCTCTCATCTGTACATCTCCCTGTCCCTGGGGCCTCCTACTAACCTCCTGCATTTGCCCTTGCTTTTCAGGTGATGGAACAGTTCCAATTATGCTATCACTTGGTATATTAACAGTAAGTTATGATCTGGTTCTGTCCTTTTACCTTTGTTGAAATAACGTCTAATCGATTATTATTTGATATATGGTTCTTGAATTTCACACCTACTCAGCAACCTTTATTTGGCCAGTTAACAGTCAGTTGTGCAGTTTAAATAACCTTATGCTCTTTCTTTCCTAGACTATAACAGCAGGGCTCGCAATGAGTGGACGTAGTGGGAAGGTACATATTGAACAAGCCATATAGTCTTGTTTTGCATGAACCGTATCCAGGGCTGACCAGTTATTGTTTACAGGGTTCTAAGTATACTCCTGCAAAGCTTCCACCCGAGCCAATAGAACTATGGGCATATGAGGTCTGAATCCTCTGCATATTGATACGTTTGCATTTGCCGTTTCCTGTGGCTTACTGCCAGATCCAGAATCTGACCGGTGCATGCTTTATCATCAGGGATCTCCTTTCTGTAAAATAGTACGAGAGACCCTTGTTGAATTAGAGTTGCCACACTTGCTACACAGGTACTCAATAACGTTACACCAATGACAAAATTGCTGGATATGCTGTTAGCTATCATCAGTGTTTTTTCCTGCTGTAAAATCACAACCCTGTATCACAAAGCCTTGCAATTGCAAGCACTACACTCTTGGAGTAACTGGTAGCTGAAAATTTCTGCAGCTGTGCACGCGGCAGCCCCAGGAGACAGGAATTTTTGAAGAAATACGGCATTTTCCAGGTTGGCAACCATCAAATGTTATGCCTTAAATTGTAAAATTTCTTCTTTGCGCTTGACATGAATTACTGCTGTGGCAGGCTCCTTATATCGAAGATCCTAACACAGGGGTCAAGATGTTCGAGAGCGCTGATATCATAGACTACCTGAGGGCCACATATGCGGCTTGAGAATCCCTTCTACTTCTCATATCTCAAGTGTCAATATGCAGTATATACTACACTGATAACCTGACATATCTCAAGTGTTAATATGCATTCTCTCTATTCTTATGTTGTAGATTCTCTCTATTCTTTACAAGGAATCGGCGAATTCATAATGCAGTACATGCACATACACATAACACTGCTCATTTTATTGTACACGAATTTTTATTGAAACGATTATTGTAAAAGAATTTATACTCCCTGTTTACTTGTTTTATAGTGAATGACACTGAAATGAGGCTGTAGAAGAGGTGCAGTGAAGCTTCTCTGTTTATGCCCAGTTAATTTTCAGATCAAATAAGGAAGCTAAACAGAACTCTGTCCAGTTATTTGGGACCTAAAAATCATAATTAGCTTAAGAGTAAATTGCGTTTATAGTACACGAACTTGGTAAGTGGGTACGATCTAGTGCAAGAATTTGAAAAATAATTATACGGGTCTAATAACTTGGTTAGTGCATACATTTTGGTTAAAAGATCTCTCTTTTAAACCATACTTTTTCAGCCATGTAAAGAAAAAGCAGCCAGTTAGATCATCTTGAGTTCTGAACAAGGTTTTAGATAGGTTGCGTTTGCTCGGTTATCATACTAAAATAACCTATTATTTAAAATTGAAAAAAAAATAATGATTATCAAAACTAAGTGTATGCCAACTAACAAAATTTCTGAGCGATCCAGCTAATCAAAAAAATTCGCTGATGAGCACTACAAAACATTCTCATTGCCAACAATTAATCTAGCAGTTATGTTTACAATACAACCAATAAAATACGATGAATCATTGGTATGTAACAGTGTTTTTATCAAAATGCACGTGATTGTTAAAGTTTATGTACCGGTTTGCTCATTTTACAAGTTTTTACACTAAATCGCACACACTTAACAAGTTCCTTTACCGCTGACGCAATTTACTCTTAGCTTAACCTTCACTATCTCAACTACCAGAATAAATGCCAGCCGTCGATTCACGGATTAACAAAGCTAATCAAGTCTTGAGTAGAAGTAACAAAATCTGCACGCGAAGAACCTGATTCCAACTCTGAAGGAGCAGGCCAAAACAACCTCAAGGCCACGCGCAAAAAGGAAAGGAAAAAGGTGGCTAACCCAAATCCCCAATACGCCTACATGGACAGCTCGCCGTCGCCGGCGCCGGCGTCCAGGGGGCGGTGGAGCTGGGGCTCGGCACTCGTGGGCGCCGCCTCAACGGCGGCGGCGGCGGCCGTGCTGCTGTGCCGGCCGCGTGACCCGACGTTCGAGCTCATCTCCATCAGCCTCTCCACCTTCCACTTCCGGCCGCCGGCGGCGCTGGACATCGGCCTCACCCTCACCGTCCACGCCACCAACCCCAACGTCGTCCCCGTCCGCTACGGCCCCTCCACCGTCTCCATCCTCTACGACGGCGCCCACCTCGGCACCGCCCGCCTCGACGCCGGCGAGCAGCCGCCCACCTCTTGCCGCCTGCTCCACCTCCCCGCCCGCCTCGACGCCGTCGAGCTGGCGCACCACGCCCGCTCCATCCTCGCCGACACCGCGCGCCGCCACATGGAGCTCGACGCCGCCGTCAAGATCGCCGGCGAGGCCGCCGTGGCCCTCTGGTCCCGCCGCTTCTCCGTCAGCATCGACAGCCACATCGTCGTCGACCCCGTCTTCCTCGACGTCATCGAGCAGGAGAACCACTCCGAGATGCAGCTCTACCTCACCTGATGCCATCTCATTTTCCTTTTAATTTAGATGACAAAACCTCGTCGATTGTTTCTCATGTGTGGTTAAGTGTAATGCAATGAGATGAGATTTGGAATGCAATGCTCAACAAATCTCTTATGCAGCTCCAATAATCACACAGAAAAGCAACAGATTGGTACATCAAAATAATAAAATGTGAAAGAAAGTTAGGTAAGGGCGCCGGGGGAAGCTGAGATAGCTCGCAACCCACAACAAGAAGCTGGACTGGCACTGGCACTGAGCCACAACAACCAAAGGACACCAAAAGCCAGCATTTGATGACCTACTTACGGCTAATAAGATTACACTAGTACACACACAGAGACAGATTGCATTGCGTTGCGTTTCCAATGGATTTTCATCAGTTGTTGATGGTGGCGAGCGGCGAGCGAGGGATGAGCGATGGCCTGCGGTCCTTGCTCGGCTCGTAGGGGTGGTTCTCGCGGAACTCGTCCATCAGGGACTCCATCGGCATCGCTCGCAGCGACTCGATCGCGTCTTTGCTCGGCACCTCCGGCTCCGACCTCACCGGAGTTTCGCCGGTCGGCTCGTAGTCCTGCACAAGCAACAGCGGAGTTGTTCATCAGGCTCTGGTCGGTGAAATGAAAATTGTCATCGGTTCACAAGATTTTGAGTGTACTAGTCTCGCTCACCTTGTAGCTGCTCTGGAAAGCGTTGTCGGCGTGGGTGTTGATGCCGGCGGTATGGCTGGAGTGGCTCTCCTGTAGATGCTGGCTCTCTCCCAAATGAGCTTCCACCGTCGACACCACTCTCGACGACGAATTGCGCGCCTCCTGCAGCATATCTGATGCGAGCATATGGGAAACACAGGTTGGGATTAGCTTTACGCAACTCCGTGTTTTAGAAGTAGGCAACTGTGATGAGATCTCAGAACTTACTGTCAACATCTTGGAGTAGGTCCTTGCTGCTGTTGGACGCATGCTCCTCGGCCGTGGCACGGGAAGATGCAATCTCTGCTTCGTGCTGCTCGTTGGTTTCGATTGCACTCCTGAAATATACAACATAAAGACGCTCGTTAGATTTTAAACTTTTCAAAACTTCCACTGCCATCATTCACAACGAATTCAGAAGTGTTCCCTTTTGTTGTGAAATTATGTGCTACTTGGCAAACACGATTATTAAAAGAATGGATTGTTTGAAATGCTAGCTCGATAAGTGGAAATCTGATGAAGAAGCACTAAACAATATTTCCTAACCAATTGTAACCAGCAACAGCTAGCTTAAGAGAAACTATGAGCTTGCCTGACGAGTGCTTCAACTTCAGCTATTTGTTTTCTGCATAGATCGTTAACAGTTGCATGTGATGCTTTCCATTGTTGAGCAGCAGTGTCGACGGTGCATGCACTGAGTCCAGTACAAATCATTAGTTAGAGAAAGCCAATCAAACTAATGGGAAGAAGGAACGAAGAAGCAGCAACTGAAGGCATACCATTCCTGCAGAATGGTTTCCATGCGACAATGCTTAGCTGCAGAGAAGTTGGACCCAACTTTGCAGTCATTCTCTGCCTGCTCTGCAAACATTTCCCACTTTCTCTTGGCGTCCTTCGTGACCACCTCCATGGCGGACGTGTGCTCATCCAAAAATGCTTTGTTTCCACGAGCGGCGTCACCAAGAGAGTTTAGTCTACCACCCACCTGCAGGAAAATACACCAGGCTTCCATCAAAACCAAACTACAACTGAATTCACACGCCCCAGAAGCATCTTGAGAAGATACAAAATTATGATCACACATCAAAAGCATGCCTCAAAAGGTTGGCCAGACTTATATTTATGAGGTGAAAGTATGCAACGCACCAGTTCTCGTTGTCGAGTAACGTGTTTAGAAACCAAACTGGTGATGTCCGCCAGAAGCTTTTGTTCTTCTGATTTTGATTGCTCCTGCATAAAATTGATGTTAGATACAGCAACCAAATTTTGCCAATCAAGCAGACAAAAGGGGGATCGATCACCTCATAAGCCTTCTGGAAATCTTCAAGGCTTTTGACTTGTGCTTCATGTGTGTGATTGGAGTGGCTCTGCAACTTCGAAGTTTCCTCCACATACTTATCGAACAACCCAAGGATGAAACTAGACATGTCCTTCGTCCTATCCAAGCTAATGCGGAAACTCTGCATAATAACAGGAGCAAACTTCAATTAAGAGCTGATCATAGGCAAGTATGTTGACAATTTAGAATGTTTAACAGTCAGATCAAGTAACTGACCTCCCGCAACTCTTGAGTGAAATGTGCCACTTCGCTTCGATGATCAGCTAGCAAATTCTGGATATCACCAAATATCTTCTGTGCCTCTCCCTCGACACAAGCTAGAAGCTGTCATTAACAATAATGCCATGAGAATAACTCAATCAAAGGGTAGTCACAGAGTAAAGAGCATCAGGTTCTGTATTTGTTGGATAACTAAGAAGATTGCTTGCCTGATCAAGGCTGCAACAGCTTGCAGCAGATAGGGATGATATATCCTCTAGTGTAGAATTTGAATTTGCTTTATGCAGGAGCACAACATTTTGGAAGGCTTCCATATGTGACATATAAAGTGCCTTTGAAGCCAAAATCTTCTTTTTTATCTCCGAAGTAGCCTTAAACATTTAACAAAAAAAAACATATAAATATAATATGGAACCACTGAGCCCACATAACTAATTTGCAAAATTAGGCATGGAGATTTATGAAGTAGCAATGCATACCGTGTCATGGGAATCAACACAAGACTTGCATAAGTTCTCCACAGATTTAAGGTGTTTATTTTGCTGATCTATAGATGTGGCAAGGGTAGTGGAGAGAATATCCAACTTTGAAGCAAGGTCAGCTTGGAATGAGTTCACCACTGACCTATTTGCAGCATTTAGTTTATCTCCTCGAGCTATTTTGTCATGGTAATCATTCAGTTAGAACCAATGACAAAGATGATAGTAAGCAACATTTTGGAATAGTCATCGAATTAAGCCAAAAGAGCTTACCAATCTTTGAATAGAGTGCAGCATTCTCACGGTTAGATTTTTCCAGGTCTGATCTCAGAAGACAGGCTTGTTGAATTAAAGCATTTTCTGATCAACACAGATGGATGAAAATACTGTTAGAATTATTAACAATTGACCTGCAGGAATAAAAAATGTGCAAAGAATCGAACCTGCTTTTCTCTGCTCAGAGATTATGTAATCTTTCTCCTTCAGATTATACTGGGCTTGTTTCAAATCTTCTTTGGTTGTGGATAGTAAGTTGCTTGTATGGTCCAGACATTTCTATCATGGTACAACACTATAAGCCTTCGATCACAAAATAGCATGAAGGAGAAAGGAACTAACTTGCAATCATGATTACCTCTGTGGCTTCAAGCTTTTTGCTTAGATCAGCAGAATGTTGAAGCTCTGAGTCGTACTTTTCTTGAAGATCATTAATTTGCTGAAACCCAAGCAAAAGATCAATTTTAAACAAGAACAAATATCAAATATACACAACAAGCACTTTACGAACCTTCTGATTTGCTTCCAACGAAGTAGTCATCTGTTCAATTTGATCAGCCATGGCCTTAAAAAGGAAAAATAAGAAAAGTTAGCATCATCAGCCAAACTGCTCCAAATCTTCTCAATACCATAATAACATCTAGAGTTACATAACAGATATGTTGACAGTACATATTTCAGGTTTGTGAATATTTCCCCATTCAGATCCATTAAATCCAAAAGATTACCTTTCTCTCATTCTCCTCCTGCTGATATCTGTCTTTTGGGATGTAGACTCCAACCTTTTCACGAGCAGCATAGACCTCTGGGAATAGAGAAAATTGTGAGGTTATTCTGCAACCATTGTGAATTACTTAGAACTGACTGTCAAATCACTACAGACCTGCTTTAAGTCGATCTATTTCTCCATAAAGATCTTTGATTAATGTTGATTTCATCATTTTCTGGTTTACCTGGAATACAAAATAAACGATATATTAATAGCAGGCCACACTATGCAATTACAAGCTTTAAGGAGTTAATAAAAATTTTCAGCTTGTACTCTTCAAACCCATTATAATTTTGGTATGTACTAGGCACCTCCTATTTGAATTATTTACTTGTTTTTGTACAATTGTTTAGCCAATATGAATAAAGCGATTACTACTATTTTAAGCTGTTCTGTTTACACACCACACTGCTATCAGCACATTGACTGTAGATGTGAGAAAATGAAGCTAGATCACCTCGGGCCTGTTTTTGATGCTCTTTGCTCGGTGAGCATAATCTAAAGTGCTCAATGTTTCCTCTAGACAATGCACGGAGGGTGAAACAGTAGCAATAATGCAAGTTTTGGTCCTCCCTCCTAGTGAATCACGGAGCAACCTTGTAAGCTTACTGTCCCTGAAAGGTAAGAAAGATCGAATCAGTTAGCACAAAAGGCCAAATAGATTACTGTTGCAAGGTATTTTAACCACTTACCTGTAAGGAACATGTCCAAGGTGCTCGACCAAGGCTGTAATAACGCGACCTAAAGTAAGCAAGCTTTTGTTTATTTCACCAGCCTCTCTAGCTCGTCCCTACAATCAGGCTCAAGTGTCTAACTTAATAGTATAATAAAATATCCAAAACATAAATGAATGTTAAATGAAATAGTAGCATTCTAGCTGGTTATACACCTACCTCCCTAGCTCCAGAACGGGAGATATTCTCTGATCCAGCCAGGTCAACCAAATTAAGCTTCCCACATTTTATCAATTCTTCTCCTTCAGGAGTAGCCTCTTTTATGTGAATGGTGATTGAGAATAGGGAGTGTGAACGACTGAAATGTTACATATATGGTAATAAGCACACAGAGTTTCTTGAGATGAGCAAACCAAAGTTTAAAAAGACAAAGGTAAGGATTAACCTGGATTGCTTGTTCAACAGAGTCTCTGCAGTACGGCGCTTTGCAGATCCTCTTTCCAAAAGAGAGAATATTTCGCTAGCGTTCGTAACTATCTCTTCCTCCAGGCCTCTCACAAGCACCCCGCCTTTCCCGTCCTCCATAAGAGGTAAGGGCTTCTTCTGCCGTTCTTCAAGGGCAGCCTTAGATATCTCCTCTGGCGCAAGAAGATCAGTTATTTCCTCATTGTACAGCTCGAGGA